ACCTGCTAGATGCATTCATTTATGTTGACTCAACCCTCTATCACTGTTCTTGAAAGTTAATTTAGTATAATTACGGTGCAGGTTATATTAAAGTGGTTAATAATGTCTAATATACTCAGGCTGTCTTTTTCTCATGTTTATGTAGAACAGTTTAGGATTAAGTATGTTACATAAATTTAAAATTCATACATATGAGTTTAGCCATCATAGAGTATTTTTGTTAGTAAACTTTTCACTCAAATAAGGAAAACAAAATGAACTTGTTTCATAAAACGACCAATGATAAGAAACCCATGACTATGTGCACCTATACTTACAGAGTTTCCCCAGAAATCCTCAAGGCCATAACAACTGGAGGTAGTTTGAAGAGTACTGTGACAACTGCTGCTTAAAATGAGTGATTAAGAGGTCATGGTGTGCCCTAAAACAGGGGTGGGGGCACTTTTGAGGCCAGGGGGACCACATTAGACTCATGAGGGCTCTTCATGGGCCACCTATTACCTTCAAAGCTATTAATAATTCTTGCAGATTTATTGGGTATGGCCACTACCCTGGAGCATCATCCCAGTGCAGTTCCTTGGCGATGGGTCTCCAACAATGTGTTTTGAGCTGGACACGAGTTTGCAAATGAAGCAGAAAGTACAGTACAGTACAGTACAGTACAGTACAGTATGGCTTTCTATAATCAAATTTAATTTTTTTTTTTTACAACTTCATTTATTTCTCAAACAAGCCAAAACTTTGTATATGTACAATCAGAGTAAAGATACATATTTAAAAAAAATGAGAAAGATCTAACCAATACAAAACAAATATTGTCAAAAGGTTCCCTTAAAAGACATTGAATTGAAATTTAACCGTGGAATCGTTAGCTAAACAGATAAGTCTATTTAACAACAGTCAGACTTATCAGGAATCCAGAGCCTGGGTTTTCAACTCTGTTGACTATACAGTAAGTGGAGTTGTCTGATCAGTGCTTAAGCTATGAGAGGTACAATTGGTCACTAGTGAAAAATTTCTTGTCACTTAAGGCACCACCACCTATCCCTGAAGGCAGAGAAGCCAAGGTGGATCCCTACTAAGCTTCACCTTTACCCTGGTCACACAACTGGACTGCATGATGAAACAGTTTCCATTTTTTGGAAACATATTGAGTCAGGATACACTATTTGTTCCCCTAAATTCACCGAAACAGTGTATACAACTACTAGACCCAAGGCAAATTTCTCAATTTAAAACAGGGAAAAGGAATAACACAACATAAACACAAAAGTAACCCAAAATCATAGGAATAATATTGGGTGTCTTGCCAACTCCACTGAATTTAAAGACAGAGCTCAGGATGCAGTCACCCAACCCAACCTGAACCGGAGAATCTTCACACCTACACTCAAATGAACATGACCAAGTTATGAAACTAACTGCTGTATTCAGAGCATCAAGTGACCGACAGCACAAATTCAGATCCACACCAGGCTCATATGAAATGAAGAGGGCCCTTCAGATGACTAACAAATTAAAAGTAAGATACTTATAGCAAATCAATCACAACATATGAAACAAACTAGCTGCAGTATATAATGTTAAACTGTAAATGAACTGAGTTGAGGCTATTATGTGTCAATGAGAACAATGTAAATAGAAGGTAATGAAACCTTTACTTACCTTTCTTTGGTGCTATCTGAAAAGAGCCTTGAAGCTGCTCTTACATGAAAAACAGAGTTGCACATTGGTGGAGTGTTCAGTAATACAAATTAAGGAAATGGAAAATTTCCTATTGCTTTCAGACGCTGCAAGACACTGCATAGCACGGAGAGCTGCCATTAGATAATAATCAATGGCTATCCTATGCTAGTGGGGAAAATTGCCCTAAAACAAATATGATGATGATTTCATTGAAACAAGAGTCTGTCCAAGGATATTGCCAAAGTGAGAAGTACACAACATTTCTTAATGCAAATTATTATTTCCAAGCCTAATGAATCCCAAGGTGTGATTTATTGCTAACCTCATCATAAAATGGGTGTTGTGTGTTTGTACATTACCCCCTGCCTAAACAATCAGATATGCCAAAGAAACTTTTACCTGTAATACTACCCTATACTTTGCTCATAGATATCTTAGAAACTTTGGGCTGGACCCTATCTGCCAGAAAATAACTGTTAAGAACAATGGACTGGACTAAAGCCTTGGGAATTGGTTATCCTGGGCACCAAGTAGGACAAATCCCTCTAACTACCACACCATCAATAAGTTGTTACATACGTAAACAGTCACAAATTGATGTAAGGGGAATAAATCAAATGTATACAGTATATCTTATACAACATAAGTCTCAAATGGCCCAATCCAACCCATGTACCAAGGAGGCATGAACTGTGCTTAACTTATTTCTAAACTAGAAGAGTCTGACAGACTTGTCTGTCTTTAGTGTTAATGACAACCATGAAACTGGTTTACAACACTGTCTGGTGAGTGAAAAGAATGTGCTGCTCATCACACTCCCAAGTCTTACAGCAAATAGTGGCCTCTAATCTTGTACAGTACTAGCAAAAACTGACATGGGAGAAAGGGTGATCTATGGACTACCTTCAGAGGTGTGTAAAGTACAGTACTGTGGTTTGTTACTTGAGTACAATATATAAAAAAAAGTAAAGTAAAAGTACTCTTCATTAATATTGTACTTATATTAGCATATAAAACTCGCTACTCAAGTATTAAAAAAGCAGAAAGTAGCAAATATCTGTTCATCATGTCTCGCATACATCCCTATCTTTGCCTTCTTTGACACAGTTATCTCTTTATATATACATTTATCAATCCATCACTTACTTTAGTAACACTGTGGGTCAGTTCATCACTCATCACTCCACATGCTGATACATCCATTCCAAGATATCTGAAACACTACATTTCCTCTATTCTATATTCATTCAAGGTAATATTAATTGATCATAGTCTCCTTTCTCTGCATAGTTTCATCACTTGCTTTCCTTCACATTTATTAATAATTTCCTTTAAAACACTCTTCCCTCCTCACTCACTAATATTTGTGATTATTCCTGAATCATTTAATAAAACAGTGTCACCTGACTCACCTCCCAAGTATATCCCATATTACTACTTACTAAACTAACACTTCTCTCTACTACTGTCAGTTACTTCCATCTCTCTTACAATAAAATGTAAAACTGCCATGCATGTTCAACTATTATGAAGAATTAATTTCCCTTTCTGCATCACACTCCAATATACTGTACTGTATGTTCTCTTTTCCATGTCAAAATTTGGACAACATTCAAAAGTTTCCAATTTACCCCATAAATCTTCAATATTTCATACATCATTAATGTACTATTATGCAAACTCTTGATCCACACATTCTCTGTCTTTCCTAAACCCACAAACATTGCTCTTCCCCTAACACAAACCCTGCTTTTTGCTACAACGACTCATAGTAACAACTTATACCATACTCTTTCGCTGATATATTTAACAGAATTAACCATGTCATGTTATCACATATGCTTATCATCTTTCTCTTTATACAAGAAAGTACTTCATACTCTACATATTTTGGCAACACTGTACTAAGTTAAAGTATGTACTAAGTTAAAGTAAGAGAATTTTTTGTAAATTGTACTTATGTTGGAGTAAGAGTACTTCAAAATAAATTAACTTTATAGAAAGTACTGTAGATCCTCAAAAAAGCTACTTAAGTAAAGGTACTGTACTTATAAACAGTTGCTTCACTACTCCACCCCTATGATTACCGCTAGTCAGCATAACCATGGGGTTTACTGGAGAAATACCACTAGCTAAGGTGCACACATTTATAGGTTGCTCAAAACTGGTACCAAATTATAAAATTTAATATGTACCTGTATATAACTTGTATAAAATTAAATACAAAAGCATGTTGGAGTGCCAATGTAATATCAAATTGTAGTCATTTGTGTAGGCAAAACAAGTTGTTAGTACTGTATATAGACACAATGGAATCTATTAACACATATATTTTTATATCTGAAAATCATTCCTACTCAACCTTTTTACAAGATTCAACAAAAGATCACCTTGAATTTATGTATACTGCCTATGAAGGATTGATCATATAATCAAATTTTATTACCAAGATTGAAAAGGGCAAATCATAAATATCTCTTTTAAGCTTTCTGATTTTAGAACCCAGTTATGCATTAACTAGTGATCAACCCAGCTCCCCTGCAGTACCCTCGGTCAGAGGAAGAATTGTGCTTACAACTTACCAACCTGTAAGTTATAACCCAAGGAGGATGGTGGTATCAGAGTTCTTCTTTCCAGTCTTTGGTATAAAATGGGATTTCAGGTCCAATCCCTCATTTATAATGTAATGCTTCTTACAATAAATCATAAATACAGAACCCAGCTACACATAGGTGGAAATAAGCTTCAAGTGACAAATAATTAAGGAGTGAGGACAGTTCATGACCTGCAACTGCTCAATCCCCCAGCAAGGGCCAGAGACAGATGAAGAGTGTACCAGTTGACATTTGTCATATCAAGAAGCTACATACACAGATCAGAAAATTCAAAATGATCTAACCACTACCCAAGATGACAAGTGAAATACCAAGAAAATCTAAAAATGCAATTTGTAAAAATGAAGACAAGGACCCAGATTATATCTCAACCCATTCTCTCACTCTAACGATTTTTCTTGATCACACACCACATGTACAGGGAATAGAACCTGGCAGAGAAAATTCTTGACATTCTAGTCACACAAGCAAAAGAGAGTTTAGCCCTGTTTCTAGCATGTGTTTAGATGAAATGTTCCCTTATTTGCCAAAAATAGACTTCTGTTAAAATTACAGAAAAATATGAGTCCTGTATTGTATATAATTCCCATTAATATACGCATCTGTTATTTCACTCTGCAATAAAACACCCATCAGACTTTTGTAAATACATTCAGACATTCTGTATGACTATTTTCAGTTACCAATAAAACAATATAATATATATTCACAGGTTAAATTTATTATCTGAAATCTAGTTTCAAGTAGTCTTCAACATTAACACAGAATAATTGAGTTCATAATACAGTATTTCATGAAATTTAAACACAAAAATCAATCCAAAACATAACATTTGTAGTATTTAGGGAGCGACACTTTATATAGTTAGTATATACTGTACTGTACTGTATATAGAAATAGACAACAATTTTTTCCTATCATTATCCTTGAGGCTTGTCTCAAAGTATTCCAGAGAATAGTTGCAGGTAACCCCTCGATAATTTTGTTTATTTTAATCTATGACAGAACAATTGTATTTCCGTGTTTGTTTGTCATGGAACTGGTAAGATATCTGTGCACAAAAAACTAATTATACTGAATGTCTTACCTGTGTGTAAGGTTTCCATGATACAGCAGTTTCATTATTAAGGTAAAACAATATGAACTACAGTCTCTTTAATATTGTAAATATCATTGTCCTGCAGCTGAATTTTTAATAAATATTATGGATACTGAATTAACTTAAATATTCCCCTCAAATATGGACTCCTGTGTTTTACAATTTTTTTTTAATCAATATTAATTTAATCAACTTACAAGAAGAAAAAATCTTATCTATAACTCTTGCTTACTATACAGGGAGAACAAGCTTATCTAAAAATAATGCCGAGAAGTGGAATTAATTTTGCAGTTTTTATAGTATGACTGCCAAAGAGTCTCCATCAAGTCAAAGTAATGTGTGACTATAACAGCATGGCAGCTTCTGAACAATAATGTTCACCAATTCCCTTCACTCTTACATACCAATTCCCTTCTACTTTTAATCTTAAGTGTAATAAAGTATTATCTGAACATTACTCTTATTTATAAATATGACAGTTTACTGTAAATAAGGAGTATCAAACATATATATATTCAGTATACAGGTACAGTAAACCCTTGTTATTTTCCGGGTTTGCGATTCGCGATTTCGACTTCGCGGTAAGCAGATGGTGGCTAGCTTACTAACCTGCCCACAGTGCAACGACTCACCCCCACACGCCCGCAGCATCTCCTCACAGTTTGCACTCAACCATTGCCTGCAACACAGCATCTCTTGTGTTGTATACTGAAAATTTAAGTGTTTCTGTGTGAAATGTCCCCTAAGAGACTGCCCAGTGTCAGTGCTAATGATGTTAGTGGAGTAAAATGTTTAGAGACTTCAAAGCCAAGAGGAAACAACTCCCAATCACGATGTTTTCAAGAAAGAACCAGCTGCTCGCCCAGCTGATTCATCTCCCTCACCTACTCGTCAACTGTTGCCACCGCTCCACCACCCGCCTCTCCAGTCTCCACCAGCCACCACTGCATCACCCTCTTCCAACAGTGATCCTGATGCTCTCCGTATGCTTCAGTAACCATACTTCATTCTACTGTACAGTACACTTCATCAAGCTCCAAACATCCACATACAAAAGAGAGTAGCGTTGGTGACTTTAGTTTCTAATACAGTACACTGTATAGGTATACTGTACAGTAGTGCACTAATGTAGTATAAGTTGCTATTCACAGTTTTGCCAATTTGTGCCATTCCTTGGAACCTAAACCCTGCAAATAGCAAGGGCTTACTGTATAACACATCTACTTACATACGCACACTAGAATTTGTCACTTCTTTTCCGACCAGAATATTTTGAGTCAAGTCGCACCTCCTTCCCCTGCTTTCTCCGTCGTTCTTTTTTTTGCATGATCCATGCCCGTTTTGGTTGACGACCACTGCGAATCTGCTTCATACGTTCCCTGAAATAATAAAAATCATAATTTCTTCATTACTGAGATATTATTAAACCATGACATTATTTAACTGCTTTAAAATTCGTCATGTTAAATCTAGGGTATACCCCCAATCATTTTTCTTTAAATCTTGCAAGCCTCTTTCCACTGCTACATAGTGTAGCATGAATCAAGAGCAAGACAGATATTCCTTTCATTCATTCTGTCTTTTAATTGCTTGAACAGATGTGCTCTGCTTTGATGGTCCCTTTACACAAGCCCAAATACAGTACTGTATTGTATATCCATCCAGTTTATCCCTGTTACTTCATACAACCCATCACCACACACCACCAGTATTATATACAGTACAGTACTGTACTCCCATTACCAAATTTGACCATCAACTGTGACCTGATTTTTGAAAGAGAAACTTGAATTAGGTGTTCAGTACTTAATCTACTGGTGAATGGTGGTATACTGTACAATATACAGAGTTAATACAAATTTTTGTGGAATACCTTATGTTAAAATATAGGCTGAGGCAAAATGTTTGGATAAATCTTGTCACATTGTCTCATGATGGCAAAGAATTGAATGATTCTCGAGAAACTTAACTTAAAGTGAGAGACAACTTGATGGGCGAAGTTTCTTACCCAATGTGAGATGTGATAAAATTTGTCCATGTGATTAACTACAATGTAAAATAAAAGTTCCTGGTACTGTACTGTATACTAAACTCTATAGACAATGAAAAGTTTGTGACCACCCAGGGGAGACAACCAATATGTGCCATAATACACTGGTTATTCAATCTTCATATAAATAAGATTCAAGATTTCACGGTATCACAACATATACAGTACGTACAGGCAGTCCCCGAGTTACGAATGCCGACTAACAAACACCCACACTTACGAATGGGATCTCAATATACAGTATTCATCATAAATCTCTGTAAATAAATCCCATTATATACATTGTTTTCATTTTATACATTGTTTTACAGGTGCTCCCCTACTTACGACTGCTTCAACTTACGTCCATCGGTACTTACGACCTGCTCTGATCTTACGACCGTCGGGACATACGACCGCGGCAGTCGTGACCAAAAATATTTTCAAATGACGCGCGCATTTTCTATACCGAAACGTTTCTGTCCCGGGCGAGAGCGTGGCACGGCCCGGGTCGCCGCGTGGGTACACTCACTCAGTGGAGCGCTTAGTTGGTGTTTGGCTATCGTATCCTATGCTCATCGCGCTGTAAACTTTCGTTATTATCGTATTTAATTGACTTTATAATGACTGGAAAGCGTAAAAGTGAGAGTGCTGGTGGTGCTCCAAAGAAAAGGAGACAGGCAATTACTTTTGAGATAAAAATGAAGATAATAACACAGCATGAGAATGGAAAAACTGTAGCAACAATCTCACGCGACCTAGGTTTCTCACACTCGACCATATCCACTATTCTGATGTAGTGATGTAGTGAAAGGAACAACACCTATAAAGGGAACTATAATTTCGAAGAAATGACAAGGTCCTATTCACGATATGGAAAAATTATTGGTGATATGGATAGAAGACCAGATACAGAAGCGTGTACCCTTAAGCCTTCTAACCATACAGGCTAAAGCAAGAGGCCTGTTCCAAAGCCTGAAGGAGCAGGCAGGAGATGAATGTGATCAAACCTTTACAGGAAGTCATGGGTGGTTTGATAGATTTAAAAAACACTACAGTCTACACAAGGTTAAGGTGAGTGGAGAGGCAGCTAGTGCCGATGTTGGTGCTGCCGAAGCTTTTAAGGAGGAGTTAGATGAAGTGATTGTGGAAGGGAATTATTTGCCTCAGCAAATATTCAATGTGGATGAGACTGGATTATTGTGGAAGCGCATGCCTGAGCGGACATACATCCACAAAGAGGCGAAAACAATGCCAGGATTCAAGGCATTCAAGGACAGAATTACACTTCTGTTGGGGGGCAATGTTGCTGGTATCAAGCTAAAGCCCTTCATGATCTATTATTCAGAGAACCCCAGGGCTTTTAAACATGTCAGCAAGCACACACTGTCAATGTTTTATCGCAGTAATAAGAAGCCTGGATGACCTTAGCACTGTTTGAGGATTGGTTCATGACTTGTTTCATTCCACGAGCCAAGGAGTATTGTCTGCAACAATGGATTCCATTCAAGATTTTGCTGATTTTGGATAATGCTCCGGGACACCCACCACACCTGGACGACATGCACCCTGATGTTAAGGTAGTGTACATTCCACCAAACACTACCTCTGTCATCCAACCCATGGACCAAGGTGCTATTGCTGCCTTTAAAGCGTATCATTTACGTACGACCTTCGCTCAGGCTGTTGCTGCTACTGAAGGTGAGAAAATGCTCAAGAGAGTTTTGGAAGGAGTACAATGTTTTGTCATGTATAAAGAAAATTAGTGCAGCATGGGATCAGGTTACAAAACATTGCATGAATGGAATATGGAAGAAAATCCTGAAAAGATATGTGAACAGTTTCAAAGGATTTAATGAAAATGAAGTTATTTCGGATATTAGTAACAAGATAGTGGAGTTAGGTAAACAGCTGGAGTTAGAAATTGATATTGAAGATATTGAACAGTTGGTTGAAAGTGTAGCAGAAGAGCTCAGTAACGAGGATCTTATTGAACTAGATGCACAGAATATTGCAGAGGAAGAAGAGAGACAAAATGTAGAAGAACAACCTGCACCTCCCCAAAAAGTTTTCAGTGAAACAAATGGCAGAGGCATTTGCTACAATTAATAAAGGAATGCAAATGTTTGATGGCATGGATCAAAATTATGAGCGTTATGCCAAAGTTGACAGAATGATCCAAGATGCACTTGCTTGCTAGAGAAATTTATAATGAAAAGAAAAAACAAACTGTGCAGTCTAAATTGGACATCTATTTTAAGAAGTCCCCCAGTGCTGTCTCCTCACGCCCCACCAGTGCTGCCTCTTCACTCCCTCAAGATGATCCAATACCTTCAACCAGCAAGTTTCCACAGTCCATAAACCTGTCTGAAGAAAGCGACATTGATGACCCACCCAGCCCTGTCTCCTCCTCTGCTTCTTCCAGTTAATGTAGTCTCCATGTATAATTAGAAAATTATGGGGGCCCCGTGTGCATTCAGCTGACTACATTAAAGGTAAGTGCTCAGTCACACTGTATCCATTCCTCATTATTTATTACTTTTACTGTACTGTATTTCATTGTAGATTTTTTATTTTATTTTTGTTTTAATTATTGAAAAACAAAATATTTTGTTTTTTTATCTATGTCGGACTTACGACCAATCGGACTTACAACCTGGATTTGGGCCCCTAACCCCGTCGTAAGTCGGGGAGCACCTGTATACAGTCATGCGCCGGTTAACGTCCAACCGAACAACGTCCGATCACATATACGACCGTGCCCCCCCCCCTCCCCCAAAAAAACTTCCGTGACGCCTGCTGGACCACCACTCCACGACCCCCTGACGGAGACACAATGATCCTCCCCATACTGGTCAGATAATTATGTGTTAAAGGAATATGCTTCCTTCCTTAGGCTTTTTTTAAGTATTTGCCTCCAAGTGTAATGTTAACCTAGATCTATTGAGGATAAAATCTTTCACCTACAAATTGACAATAACACATTTGCTGTAATCATACATATCTAGTTGCCTCAACAATTGCAACCCCAGTTGCAATTGGGGTTGCAATTTCAAATTCAGTGTCATTACTATGGAATAGCGAGGTTTCTGGTGCACTCTAAGATTAAGAGAGAAAACGGAGGACTCAGGTATCCTGATGTGAGAGAAAACGGACTCGTATAATGGGGGACCAAATAAAAAAAGCATAGCTACATGTTTTGTGGACTACAGTATTAAGCGTACCCTTTTCATCACTTTGTAATAAACCTAACCATGCCTATGTGTGTTTATGATATTTACCATAACATTATATATATATTTAGTGTGTCTAAATGGTCGTAAAATGGGAAACTTGGGGTTGGGTCTTGGGTGCCTGGAACCAATTAGAATAAATCCCATAGGTTCTGTACTTTCATTATCGCGTTTTTTGTTGTCACGCACTCGGCGGGGTCCCAATTAGACGCGATAACCAAGGGATGATTGTACTGTACTGTAGGGGGCAGGGAAAAAACACTTTTATTTGAGTTGCAGGCTGCACTTTTCAGGCATCGTTTGTATGGCTGTAACAAACACCTGTGCAAAATTTCATGCCATTTCATGCATACTTACCCTGCCGCATCGTGAACGACTATTTGTCAACTTTTAGTGTATACCAAAAATTAGGTGTCATTTAATGTTTTCCAGGATAATGATAAATTTTACATGGGTGACATCGATTTAATTCACATTTTATTTTACAGGTACGCCGTATAGAAAATCATTACAAGTTCATATTGAAATTTTTTTTTGTGCGGAACCTTGGCATCATTTTCCGAGACAATAATCTTTGCCTAATATATCCATCTCTCGATTCGTATCCCGTCACTTCAGTGCAAGCTTCAGTCATCACTTTTATGCCTCTCTCGACCGCCTGAGTGCTGTTTGGCCACTTGGGCACCACTAATGGTGTCTCAAGAATGTCATTAACCTGTAGATTTGACAGAGAAGCAATGTAAGGAGGCTCAGTCTTGAGTTCATTCCTCCAGTTAATCATGGAATGATAGTTTTTTGCTTGCCACTTTAGTTTCGGAGTCACCACCTTTCTCATGTTGACTACAGGAGGCACATCCTCATTCCCATCTCCATCTTTACCCTCCTCATCAGTATAGTTTAACAAATTCTCGTCAACAGCAGCATCAGAATCTTCCTCCTCCTCTTCAGATCTGCCAGTGCATTCTTCCTTTTGCTGATTCTCCTCTCTAATTTTTCTTATCATTGAGACAGCTTTTTCTCTAACAGTCATGTCCTCATCTGCACACATACCAAGAAGAAGTTGATCTGTGTGGGCGAAGTATGCATTTCTCTGGACAGCCTTCTTCACTATCGTCTCCTCCTCACTATTCAGGTGTTTCATATATAGCAGGGACTGGAATACGTTCCTTGAGCCGTGTGTTACGTAAGGGTGTATCTTGATGTAAAACCACATTGGAGCACTGAACTTTATTATTGTAATGACAATTCTTTTCAACTCATGGCTGGGTCTTGATGTTGCTACATACAGCCTGAGGATTCTACTCCATAAGGTGTTCCACCTTGACACACAGGGAGGACCTGGCTCAATAGCAGCCAAGTCATCTTCAACAACACCTGTGATAACTCCTTTACAAATCCTATACAGGTATTTCTGATCCCAGGACAGATCTTTCTCCACTTCATCATTAAACACAGGGAAATCAGGGAAACTGACTGGCTGGAAGGCGACAACTGGAAGCTCAGACAAAGACTCCTTGATCTGCTTTCCAATGGGACCACGCCAATGCTCAGGACCACTTGGTTTACCATCATAGTGATAAAAAACTGCGCGGAAAGGCAGCTCATTTCCGTGAAGCTGACATATGAAATAATGGAGCGGGTGACCAAGTAACATTTCAAGATGATGAATGACTCCATTTTCTGATCCTACATTTACATTGGTTCCATCACAACCAACACACACAATGGGCTGCTGGGTTAGATTTTTCTCCACCAGAAACTCGTGAATAGTTTTGGCAATCTGCTTTCCGTGTCCAGTCTTGGGAGTCACATGTGTGAGATATTCATTGCCAGGCTCAACCATGATGACATAATGATCTTTCACCATCATCCTCGAACTCCATTTCTCGGTCTTCTCATTCTTTATCATCACACGAGTGGCGGTCTTCTTACCATCAAAATAGAGAGACGTCAAATTATCTAAACTAGCCATCTCAATTTCTTGCCTCTTAAATCGGTATTTTTGTCTCGCATCCCGCAGCTTATGTGGTCCAATAACCTGACTCTTGTCATCCTTTGTGATAATGCCATAGTCAGTTAAGGTGGCAGTAGCAATGGCAGCTCCAGCATAATCACTAATCAAGTATCGGTCACAAGCGGCAGCCAGTGTAGGGAGTCTTGTCCGGTTCTGTGAACAGCGGCTGTTTGGCTAGTACTGTAGGTAAATTTAAAAATTTCAGTAGAAAATGCGGCAGACTAAACCTCGACATATCAGCTTCAAATTTGGCATGGAGTCTTAGATATGTATAAGGAACAATGCCTGAAGAGTGCAGCTTTGAGCAAAATTTCACTGCCCCCTACTGTACTGTATATACTTGTGACACTGGCCAGTTGCTTCTGGTGTTATGGTACAGGGGTACCAAGTGACAGCACTAGGATCCCGCTTCCTCTATCAAGGAATAAACAATTAAAATTTAAATTGAAAAAAAAAAAATCAAATAATGGGACGTAGCGAACCTAAATGGCCCTAGAGCGGGCACAGTCACGTATGCATCGCGTATTCTTATAGATTGTGCTGCCAGGCGTACGTTATCTAGTGAATTTAGTCAATATTGTACAGTAACAATGGACCGAAGTGCAAACCTGTATTGTACATGTACTAAATGATTACGGTACTAAAATTGTTATGTCTATTGCAAATATAGCTTGTTTATACAGGTATTCAAATAAATTACTATCTTACAAGAATCCCACCAATGTAAGTTATATTCACCCAGGTCGTTTGGGTGGCAAATTATGAGAAGAGCTAAGCCACTCTTAAGTAATGATAAATAAACACGCAGGCAGGCCTTCAGCGCCAACTGTCAAATCTTATGTCAAATAAAAAAAACCAACAAACGCCAGACATTCTGTCCCCCCCCCCCTCTTCCTGCCACCCTCGTGTTCAAGATAAAAGATTGGTGATTTCTTTATGTTTATTTTATATAATATCTCAGACTAAAGTTAGGATAATATAATTTGCATTGCTGAAATCCATGCAAGACAGAGATTAATTTAAATATAAGCGTCATATATTTTGCTCAAGATATAAACAATGTAGTACAATACTGTAGTACATTTATAATATAAATTTTTTCAACTGTATTTTTGGGTAGATTTACATAAATTTCTTCATTTATTTTCATCCATTTACATGCACACACCATACTAAAATATACGTAAAAGAAATAAATGACCTTAGTGCAAAGCTGGAGTGCACATATACTAATTTGATTACGGTACTAAAATTGTTATGTCTAGTGCGAATTACTGCATGTTTATATTCAAATAAATCAGTATCTTACAAGAATCCCAGCAATGTTAATTATATTCACCCAGGTCATGTCACTGGCTTTTTATAAGAGAGAAGCTTAGTCACTTAAGAACTGATAAATATACAGGTACATGCATTAGACCTTGGGCCGGTGCCAACTGTCAAACGTACTACCTCCCCTCCCCCCACGCCCCCTCGCTCGCTCCCTCCCTCCCTCCCTCTCTCTCCCCCAACTGCCCAGCGTTGCTGGAATCCTTGTAAAACAGTGAATAATTTTAATATAAACGTCATGTATTTTGCACAAGAGATAAAAATTAATCACCTGTATCACATTACAGTAGTGATTTAAGAGTAAAAGTGTATATGTACGTATATAGTATTCCACATACACGTAAGTATAAATACAAAGTTTATGTGATGATCGGACAACGTCCATTTCGGTTAACGTCACGTTTCCAAGAACGTATCTAGGACGTTCACCGGCGTAGGACTGTATTTTTAACCTCACTATATTTACAGTATTTACATTATTTGGTAGGTATGGTACCGGGTATATCATTGCTGTTCTGTATGGGTAGGGATGTGTTTTAACCAAACCTAAACTATGGAATTAACACTATTCCAATTTATTAACAAGGTACAGGAACATAACCTGTTCGTAACTCGGAGACTGCCTGTACCGTATGTCAAGTTTTACCAAGCTAAGTATGAAAGTTAGACCTCCACTTAAGAAAAGTTTACAGTACAATATATTTTGTAAACAATCCTTCCTTATTAAGATATAATATTACTAACACACTATAAGATGTTCCAAACTCTCAACCTGAACACCCTCCATGCTTCAAGAAAAATCAGTCCAGCAGTTTCATTAGTATCAGAATACTCCTAGTTGACTATAAAAGGTTTTAGGGTTGTACGTGAGGTAAAATACTGGTGCAAAATTAACATATAAAGAGTATGTGTGTTAATAAAGTTATGAAGAATAATGTGTAAACAAAGTGATGGATTTTAGTACAGGATTATCTAGAAGGGATATAACAAGATGCTCAAGGACCGGATTATGTGGATGAAATTGTATGGTCCACAAAAGTGGATTATGGCTAATGATATACTGGATACTCAAGTAAGTGGCACAACCATTAATGAACATATCAATAAATAATGATGTCTTAAAATTTACAAAATCCAGAGTAAGATGGTATGCTGAAGATATTCTTCAAATATTTCACTACCAATGTACAGTAGGTACAGTACTGTACTTCTAACATTTTAAACAACTTCTACATTTACTCATTCTTCCTTTGTAAATATCTAACATCATCAAATCTAATGCATGACAACTGTCACACAAATACATTGAGTAACCCACCTGCGCTGGTAAAGAGCTTGATTGTTATTGCCACCATCACCTTGTAGACCACTGGGTAGTGGACCCCCTCCTCCAGTCATCAGCACCAAATATATCTTCTTAGCCTGTCAAAATCAAATGTACTTAAGGCTTTCACAATAGAACTGGGACCAGGTATGGTCAACAAGTCTATAGGGGGCAAAACCCAGGTTATAAGAGGCTTAATATTAGTCCCAATCTAAAAATAAAATAAATCACAGTTCCCAACCATACTGAATTCTTCAAAAGGAGATACTTAGTATCGCAGTTCCCCGTAGAGGGAGAGTTTTCACTGCTACTAAGCACACTCATTAATTGATTGCTTTGTTTTAGCTCAGCAAGAATTCAACACTCTTGGACTAGCCACCTCAGTTCCTGCCCACTCAGCCACCACAGAGGAGGGAGGGTACTGGGGTCACTTGATCATGGGTCATTTAAAGAATAAGATTTCTGGAACAATCTTACTTTTCTGAACTTAAACCTGATCTTGGGTGGTTCAGTAATCAAACCAGCTAGAATTAAGAGGAAGTTGATCCTAACACGCTCCAAGTACTGTAATGCTGTACCCAACTTGGAGTCAACTGACCACCTAATCCATCATGGGAAGTACAAGAACTAACCTGATTGACTACTGAATGCCACACAATCCATGTCAGCATACAACCAGTTGTTACTACAGTATGTGTATTAGATATATTGAGCATTTAAAATCCACTAGTATTATTTCTGCCATTTTTATGGGAACATGAAGACAAAGACAGAAGAGTTTATAGAAATATACAGCTCCTCCCCAACTTACGACGGGGTTAGGAACCCACATCCAGGTCGTAAGTCGAAATGGTCGTAAACCGAAAATGCTTAAATAATACATAGAAAATCTAAAATGGGTGTCTCTTTTTCTTCTCAGCACCACAAAACTCTCACTTTTCAGCTTGCCAGCCATTTTAAAGTGAATTACAAATGATAATTTTGTTAGTACACAGCGCAATCACTGATGTTGGGACTCGAAAATACGTAATTTGACAAAATTTTGGTACGACCGAGGCAGTCTATGTCCAGGTGGTCGTAAGTCGAGTAGGTCATAAGTCGGGGAGGAGCTGTATATAATAAATGCCTCAAAGGATAGAGGATTTCAAAAGTGGTCTACTTGTTTAACCAGGGGAATCCCCATAAAAGGAAAATAAAATAACTTAAAAATGTAAATTTGCTAATGCAGGGTAAAGTACTTGGTACATGTTTTCTGTAAAGTGGATAGATCCTACCATATCTTCTCTCTCAATAAACAGAATGGATATCCAATGTTATTAAAAAAGTGTATACTACAGTATACTGCATTTAGTTTACTGTATACAGTACATAGAGTTAACAATCTTTTAATAATACTGTATCAGTAATTTTTTACAACTAGAGGCACTGATAATATCCTGCCTAAACTACAAGTGGTGTGCATACTGTGCTAATGTTTCAGTACATTTCCATCTTCTCCACACGGGTCAGTTCTGACAGACCCTATGGGTTGTAAATATAGGTACAGTATTCTGAAAACTGTAGATCAGTGGCACCTATATACAGTAAGAGGTTATGTTTTGAGCCTCAAACTATTATCCTTAAATTCATGTAAACCCCCAAAAATTAATTATATTTTCATGAGATTTATTATGCAAAATTGGAAAGTATTTAGTTACAAATATGCAAGCAAAAAAAAATCCATGGAAAATGTTTAGTGAATGTGTGAGAAACACAATCAATCACATGCCTCCCTGGGTGCATCAGCTGAGTCTCTGTTTACAGTACAGTACTTATATGATTGACACAACAGTTCATTTCACAAATACATGCAACCACAGGCATGTGTGTGCTCTCTCACACACACAGAACAAGATTTACTCTCTCTCTCTCTCCTCCTTTCTAGTTTTCTCTCCTCTTTCCAATTCTTATCATCTCAAGAGAATGAGAAGAAAGAGGGTATGAAGGCAGAGATACAGTACTGCAACATTTTCCTCTCTCTCACTCAAGAAGGGGGAAATAAATGGAGAAATGCCTTCCTTTCCTCTCTATTCTCATCTTATTCATGATTAAAACTATAATTTGTTCAGCTACAATATTCTCTTTCCTTAAGAAAGTCCCAAAGAAATAAAAATGCAAGAAAAAAAAACAAATACATAAAAATGTAGGTTACCTTTGAAGAGTTTGGGTAGTCCACCACAAGACCCCCAGTAAATCCTGCACGCATGGCTTGTGAGACGATCAGTTCCACCTGAGAGTCATTCTCAGGATAGAACTGGAACACAGCTCGGCTTCCTCGAGACTGGTAAAAAACACAAACAACCAACAAAATTATTTGAGCAGCAATACCTTTCCTCTCAGTTAAAGGAGTAAATATAATACAGTAATATCTCCATTAGCAGGAATCCCTCAGACCTGAAATTCACCAATAGCCGGAATTTAAATTTGCCCAGAATTTTTCCGGAAAATTCCATAAATTCCAGGTTTGGGAACAAATTACAAGGTTGAAAATCAGGAGCATTTTCTGAAGAAAAAAAAGGGAAATCTGTAAAAAAAAAAAAAATTATTTCTGGGTCTAGGAGTAAATATCTTTTGTGAAATAATGTGCAATTACCGGAAAATCTGAGAAAATTGCAAGAAAATCACTCCAAACTTTTCTGCTCAGGGCCTGGGGACAAGGGTTCCTGACATTATGAAAGATTGCATCATGTTCAGCTGCATCCTCACATGGTTGATGTGTGGATGGGAAGACCAAACTCTTGGGTAACGCTGGATTTTTCTGCTCTGGGTCTATATATAATTACTGTGCAAACAAATATTTCTTTAATGTACATACAATACTAAAAAAAGTAAAATAATACAGTATTAAAGCAATGTAATTCCGAGCTGAGCTAACGAGGCAAAGGGTAAGGTGACAGTCAGGTGGTGAGGTGACATGTCAAGACACACAGCACACACATTAACATTTTACTTTATAATTTTCTGAGACAACTTAGACAACTGATCAGCGAATAAGCGAGGGCATATGGCGACGCATACACAAGTGATGTCACGAAGCTTCGCAACTGCAACCACAAATGATGAACAACCGCATAAATTATCACAATCTGTACTCAAATATACAGTACTAAGTTAATTACTAAAAATTTTATGTACTGTATACATGTAGTACAAACTATGGGCTGTTTATACTCAAATTAATTGCTGTCTTGCAAGATTTCTAGGAATGCAAGTTAGATTCTGCTAAGTCAAGTCAGTGGATTTTATAAGCAAAAAAATTAAAACTCTCTGCCTTTTATAATCCCGAGTCCCTGACAATGACATAGCATTAATCTCCCCTCCTGGCTGTCAACACCCCCCTCCCCCCAGCCAGCAGGGAGGGCAGATGGTGGTGATAATGATTAATGGGATGAATTAATTTAAGTTTTCTCTTATAAAATGTCACAGATTTAACTTCACAGAATATAACTTGCATTGCTGAAATCCTTGCAAGATACCAATTAATTTGAGTATATCTCATAGTTTGCACAAGCAATAATTTTTTTTAGTCCTTTAGCATTGTACATTCAGTACAAAATTACTGCAGTAATATTCTGCTCAAAATTATGGCTTTTTCACAGGGAAAAGTCTGTATAACTAACCCCATTAGTCAGGATATTATAGTATCAAATTTTAAGGAGTACAGTTAACCCTCACTTTACGCGGTTAATGTAACCCGGAGGGTCCCGCGTAAAGTGAGAAACGCGTAAAGTGAATAACATAACATATGGGATTAATTGAAATGGAGTCCGGGCCGATCCCCAAACTCCACTTTTTGACGACACACAACTATGTTGTAGTAAAAATATTATCTTAACTTTATGATGGTATGCACACACAATTAATAATTAAGAGAAATATCAATAATATTAGGTTTTTTAACACTTACATTAGTAGAAAAAATGGCTGGGCACACGGGGATGGGCGGTTGGTTCCGAGGCAGAGGGCAGATTATTGGCCCTCACCTGTGTCACTTGTATCAATTGTATCACTATCCACCACAGAGGCTTGCAGGGCCTCTTTGTCAAACTCCCCAAAGTCCATATAAGTCCATATCCTCACCATAATTATCACTATCACTGACTTGGGCCGGCTGTGGTGGGTGGCGGGTGAAGAACTGGTAATGTTTTGATGACTGGGCGACCTTGTGCGCACCATGTTCGCGCCGCTTACACAACATGGCGGATGGCGGGAGGTTTGGATCCAAAAATGGCGCGGCTCGCCAGCCGCTCTCCGCGTAAAGGGGTACACGCACCGCGGAATGTGAGCATCCTGGGTTCCGGCAGGGCACCGCGTAAACGTGGAAACGCGGAATGTGGGACCGCGTAAAGTGAGGGTTAACTGTATTTCAAATAAATCTTTGTTTAGTTCTTTACATAAAGACTTGGCGACAGAAACTGTAATAATTAGAGCTTATTAATACCAGTACCCTTTATATACAGTAAAATACTTATTTTTACTTTATTATTCAGCTTGTCATTTAAGGATATCAATCTGGAAATGTCTTATAGAGAATTTATTCAGGATCATTATGATATCAAATTCATCTCTCTAACACAAATAGAAGTTTATGAATGCTGTGAGGAAGGGAGAGGGGGAAGAGTCCATTGGAATGGGCCGCGCTGCCACCCCCATCCCCTTACCCATAAATACTGTCAGTAAATACTGCCTCATTCATGATACAATATTGTTTATTTGTTTTTCATTAATTGGTAAAGATACATTACATTAATAATCTGTGCTTATTAATACTTGTACCCTTCATATACAATACAGTATAGTACAACATAAGAATGGAGGAAACTGCAGTGGGCCTATTGGCGCATACTGGGGAGTCCCATTTACACCCAACCCCTATTGCTCATATATCCATCCAACCTATGCTTGAAGCTATCCATCGTATTCGAGTTAATAATGATGTTTGGTAACTTGTTCCATTCATCCACTACTCTATTTCCAAACCAGTGTTTACCTATTTCACACCTTAATCTAAATTTGTCTAATTTAAAACCATTGTTACGAGTTCGCTCCTGGCTGGATAGTTTGAGTACTATGAAGACACATCATAAGTAAAAAATAATGTCATTCAAGACATCTTCAGGTCATAAGACCCTCTAATCCCCACCCAACAATGGGTGACCTGACATTGCATCAGGTCAGGTTAGTAACATGACCCAATAATCTCCCACCCAACCTCCATCATAAGTGTTAAGACATGATTACAGTTATTTATTACAGTCAGCTGAGTGAAGTGTCTGCCTACTCTAGGTTAAAGATGACAGGATCTGCTGGTGAGTACAATATATACAGTAGTATACATCATTGTTTACAGTATGAACAATAGTATGTGTACAGTGGTGTTTGTGTAAATAACTACAGCTCCTATGAGCTGCATCGTTTACTCTTGCAAAATACCACACTCTTTGCTGTAACACAGCTCTTCATGCTCGTATAATATAGAGCTTTTTTTTTTAACCAAACTTTTAGATAGAGTATTCAGGATTATTTTGATACAAAAATGGTGTCTAACGAAATTAGAACTGATTTTATTGACTCCGGCATCAACATGTCTTTAATTTTTTTTATATAAAAGGATGGGATTCCATCGTTATATCATATAAAAATATTTTTATTTATCTATTTTTTTTTTACGGGGATTAGCCCACCTGGGCACAGGTCCATGTCCCACATCAGGGACTGGGGGGCGAAAATATAATAATAATAATAATAATAATAATAATAATAATAATAATAATAATAATAATAATAATAATAATAATAATAATAATAATAATAATAATAACTATTATTATAATAATTAATAACAAACTAATAAAAAATAAATATAAATAAAAATAATAACCATAAACAAAAAAACAAAAAAGTAAATCAATAGTGAGAAACAATATACTACAGTATGTATGTTGTGTTGTCAATAGTAAGTGAAACAACTGAGACCCTGCAATTGTGTGTAAATGAGGCAGAAAGTCAGATCAGCAACATGGGACTTGGTTACAATTTATTAAGAATCATTATGGTATCAAATTCATCTACCAATCACAATTAGCCACGCTTGAGTGAAGACGGGGGGGGGAAACCTGACCGCACGACCCTCCCCCTCTCACCCACCAATAAGGTTCGCCTCCACCACTCTCAGTCCACATTACCCACACTGTGCTACACACACCAACATTACCCACACATTACACCCCTACACCACCCACACACACCCAAACATCACACACACACACCCAACTAGAGAATTAAGACAGCAAGCATGAGGAGTGAAGGTCTTATTGTATGACAAATTTGTGTGCGTGTGACTGCATGGTAGTGAGTTAAATATCAGCTGTTGAGGAGCACTTGGCAACACTCATTTCCACTCCATCTCTCTAATTACCCACATCTTTCTGCTTTCTCACTCCATATTTTAAAATGTTGTAATGTAATGTTGAAGGGATACAACTTTGCTCATTTATACTTACAGTATATCCGTACTTATCACAATCTCTCTAAAAATACTTTAGGTTTTGTGTTTATTCAAGATATCTTCAGGTCATGAGACTCACAAATCCCCAACCCAAGAAAGGGTAACCCGACATTCCATCAGGTCAGTAATATGAGACCACTAACCCCCCATCCTTCCTCCACCTGACATTGCATCAGGTCAGGTCAGTTACACGAGACCCACTAATCCCCCACAGCTCCATGGGAGTGGAAAATAACAGTCTTTGCTGTAACACACAGCTTCATTCATGCCCATATCATATAGATTTTTAATTTTTAAATATATTTATTAAACCAAACTTTCAGATAAACTATTCTGGATTATTATTGTAAAGAAATGGAGTTTCTAATTTAATTAGAACTGCATTTACGGACTCCGGTAGTTTAGACTCAAGGAAAATATCCCCAGCACCCAGACATCTGAGCAAGATGTCTAGTTTAGACATTCGGAAACTTTTCCCAATAAGTAACCGGAAAAGAACCGGGGATAAGGAATTTTTCCGAGTTTGAGAAAGTAGTCTGGTTAGCCGGAAATCTCTCACCCCGGAAGAGCTCTGTGCTAATTGTTCCGGGTAACGGGGATTATCACTATACAGTGGTCCCTCGGTTAACGAACGCCACGGTTAACGAAATTTCGGTTAACGAATTACCTTCCATAAGAATCTTCATTTCGGTTAACGAACAAAAATTCAGTTAACGAAATTCTTACGAAAATGTTTCGACGTGCTTTGGCTTGCTCACCAGCTGGAAGATTAGTCCGCCAATACAGAAATCGGTTCTAGGGCTTACATTCGTTAAAATTGGAATAAATATCAAGAAGGTTGTACTATTCAATAATTTTCCAAGTTTTATATTAACATTTTTTTGTCATTTTAACAATTATTTAATATAATTGCAGTACAGGGAACTAGTTTTTGGTGTGCCCATCAGCCACTTCACTCACCCACCAAGGCCTCAGTTTGTATCTCTGTTCAGTGGAGGAAACATCTTGCTTGTGGGTCTCTCGAACACAGTATTTTTATGTTTTTACAGTACAATTATTGGTCATTCTGAAATTTATTTAACATATTGACAATATATAGTGCAGTGCAGTGTTGATTTAAAGAAAATAATCTTGAAGTACACCTAGTGAACTTAAAATGTTATGGGTGAAATGGCGGCATCAAGCATACTGTAGAGTGATTTCTCTTCCACCCCCACTTCTAATTCCCCTCATCATCATCATCGTCAACCAGGAGCCTTCTACATACACACCTCAAAGTAAATGTACTTTACTGCATTTCTTCTTTTTTTTTTACTTTTTATGTAATTTTCGGTGAGCTGGAACCAATTTCCCAAAATCCCAATGAAACAATGGTTTCGATTAACGAAATTTTCGGTTAACAAATGACCTTCTGGAACGCATTGTGTTCGTTAACCGAGGGACCACTGTATTAACATTTTATGACTCAAACTGAAACGGTTTACTGTACTGATATATTCAGTGGAATTACACTTTAGGGGCTAATTGAGAATTATGTAGCATCCCCGTAAAGGTTCTCACTATAACATAAGAGCTACTTGGCTAAAGGAAAAGAGCCATTATTTTTTAGGTGCATCATCCTCTACTCATCCTTAGTGTACACTGTACAGTATATGACAAGTTCCAAAAACAAAAAAGCCTTGTTCATAGCAAGTTTGGGCAGACAGACATATGTGGAGCAATTCTACAATCTCCTGATAAGGAACTAACAGCCCATCTAAATCAAGTATCTGTAATGTCAAACCCTATATTTAAGGCAGCTCCTGTGGACCTTTTCTTTTATCACATAACTGCACATAAAGCTTGGCCTTTACCTGTCTCAAACAAGTACTTCATCAGTCTGTCTCTGCACACCATTTAGTCTTATTCTTTAACTACATGAACTGATATGCCTTAAATTTGATCTCTTCAAGTACAGTATAAACCATCTCACAATTACTTCCACTATCAACTAAATGTCACTAATTTCATCTCTCATACTACAGTACTTCTTTATTCCTAACTTGATCCATTTATCGAGCTCTATAAACTTTACCCCAAATTTTCACTCTACATTTGTTTCCAATTACAAATGTCCATACCAACATCACATCATTTAATTTACAAACAGGAACAAATATGCACTGCTGTACACTCTCTAGCAAATTATCATATTATCCATCAGTTTCTTATTTAACTAAAGGAATGACAGTAAGAACCAGAGTTTAGAAATGTAACAGAATTCAATGATTTTCCAGAAACATATCAGTATAGTTAGTACATGTCTTACCAAGCTTGCAAATAGTGTCATGAAGAGCTTGTAGAGCCTCTTAGCAGGTTTATGGTTGGATGTATCAGCATAACACAACCACTGGACGGCTGAAATACTGATGGCTCCATCAAACATTCCAGCACGAAAGGGAACTCCCTGACCTATATCTGCCAGCATTATGTCACCATCGACTTCTCTTTCTAAGGCAGTGCCTGCATGTACAACAGTTGTCTTAGTCAATATTTAATACATAATGATTTAAATGTTTGAATATACTTTGAATATACATTAATGTTATTATAATTTAAGTCTACCATGTGCTTATAATCCAAACTACCACTTTAAAAATTGGCAATATGAAAATGATTATGCACAATTAAAAATTTTATTCAAAACATGAAATAAAATTTAAAACAATCATAGATCAAAATAAACTGAAGAAAGTGAGAAATCTCAAGATACACAAGCAGCAAAACATATATTGTACTTTACAACAAAACTAAAAGTTCCTTCTCTGTTCATATACAAAACAATACACCAATAATCTTGATTTATATCAAGCAATTTTTTCAACATTGTTACCCCTTGCATAGAAACTTTCTCTTATGAATCAGGAAAAGTACACAATGAACTCTAAATTCCAGCAGGGGAAGAGAGAGGATGAATTTTAACTTGAGACTCGAGGACTGAACTAAGGCGGTTGATAAAGCTTTTGTGGGTTTGTGGCCTAGCAGAACTTATAAGACCAAAGAGTGCATGTACTTATATAGTAACTAAGTCTCTAAACATTTAATAAATTTCCAAATTTTGAATGACAATTTTTGGGTTGCTAGGGACCTGGTTTTTACCAAAAAGACTTATTGACTATACTGAACAGTATATTGTAAATGAATTATACATAAGACTGGCAATAGGTTAGAAATTATTATTAATGTAGCAAAAAAGTACAGTATTACCCCGCCTAACGCGGTTTCACTTAACGCGTTTTATCATATATGCGGTGCCTCGCCAGAGCTGAACTTTCACTTAACACGGATTTTTTCCACATATACGCGGTGAGTGTCCGGCTCCAGACGCTATTTTTAGATTTGCCCCACCCTGCCTGACTGCCTGTTTTAGCTCATAAAATTCATACAAATTACCCGGCCAGAATATAATTTACATTGCTGGAATTCTTATAATTTGGTGATCATTTTGAATATAAACATCATATTTTTGCATTAGACATACAAATTTTAGATAAAAATTTTTCTCAAATTAACTATGTTATCTTTTGTGCAAAATATATGACATTTATATTCAAAATATTCCTGGTCTTACAAGGAATCCAGCAATGTCAATTATATTATCCTAACTTTAGTTTGAGGTATTATTTATTAAAATTTAGTGGTTATCCCACACATCTCCTTGGGACGGTTGGTGGGGGGTGGGGGGGAGGGAGGGACCGACCGACCATCTGTTACCCAGTGAAGAATTATTTTTTTTTTTATTAACTGAAGATATTTGTTTTAGCTCATAAAATTCATACAAATTATCCGGTCTGAATATAATTTACATTGCTGGAATTCTTATAATTTGATGATCATTTTGAATATAAACATCATATTTTTGCATTAGACATACAAATTTTAGATAAAAATTTTTCTCAAATTAACTATGTTATCTTTTGTGCAAAATATATGACATTTATATTCAAAATATTCCTGGTCTTACAAGGAATCCAGCAATGTCAATTATATTATCCTAACTTTAATCTGAGGTATTATTTAATACTAAATGTTAAAAACCCTGGAAGGGAGGATTGGTGGGGGGTGGGGGGGAGGGTTGGGACTGACCGCGCGGTTGGAAGAGGGGGGGAGGCAAGGTGGGGTACTTTGATTGACAGATAGTGTTGTGAAGATTATTTTTTTTTTTATTAACTGAAGATATTTGTTTTAGCTCATAAAATTCATACAAATTACCCGGTCAGAATATAATTTACATTGCTGGAATTCTTATAATTTGGTGATCATTTTGAATATAAACATCATATATTTTTCATTAAACATACAAATTTTAGATAAAAATTTTTCTCTAGGTAACTATGTTATCTTTTGTGCAAAATATATGACATTTATATTCAAAATATTCCTGGTCTTACAAGGAATCCAGCAATGTCAATTGTATTATCCTAACTTTAGTTTGAGGTATTATTTATTAAAATTTAGTGGTTTTCCCCCAAAAATTTCTCTGAGAGGGAAGAGCCAGCGAGTGTAGTGTGAGAGAGGGGAGGGAGTTGAGTCCATTATTTGAATGGACATTAACTTGGCGACTGTATTTCTCTTAAGTATTAATTGTGTGCATGTACCATCATAAAATTAAGATGTTATTTTTACTACAACATAGGTATGTGCCTTCAAAAAGTGGAGTTTGGGGGTCGGGCCGGTTTCTATTGGAATTAATCCCATATGTTCTGTTGTTCACTTAATGCGGATTTCATACTTGCGGGACCCTCTGGGTTCAATTGACCGCGTTAAGTGGGGACTAACTATTGTAAAATGTTCTTTCAATTTACTCATTTTTCAATGTCAAAGATTATATATTGATCTGTACAAATATTGATGAGCCCTGGGTAGCAATGGATTAGGGCTACCCAGTGCATATACTATACTGTACAGTATTTCCAAACAAATACTTAAATAATGGGCATTTTAAATCAAGAGTTAGTTCACCATTATCCTTCAATTATTGGAGGCCCAGTAGTACAATGGACCAATTTTGAAAAACTGAAGATCTAAAGAATTAAAAAAATTACGAAATGCTTTAGATGAAGGCTTCAAATAGCAAGATGTCATTCACCTACCCAGCCAGAAAGTAACTTTACAAATAAAATTCTTTTATATTTTCACCATTTATCCTGTACAAACTTTAGATGTGATGTGAGATAACCTGTACAGTATTGTATGTATTAATGAATCTTTCTAAGAGGTTTCATAACTAAGGCTAAATATATTACCCCCAGAGCATCACAAAAATTGTGACCAAGTCCCAGGTTGCTGATCTGTCTTTCTGCCTCATTTACACAATTGCAGGTCTCAATTGTTTCTCATTGACAACAAAACATACATATATTGTTACTTACCATTGATCTTTTTTGTGTGTATTTGCTTGTGGTCCTTTATTTTATTATTATTATTATTATTATTAGTTTTTATAAATACAGGTTGTACCTCTCTAGTCCGGCATTCTGTGGTCCGGAACGATTTTAGTTTGTCCAATAGGTAGATAGCCATTTATTATTATTATTTTTTTTTTTACTTATCTGAATTATTATTATTATTATTACAGGAGTATTACATTTTTTCCCTTCAGGCCCCAATGTGGGTCAGTGACCTGTGCCCGGGTGGCCTAATCCCCGTAAAAAAACCAAAAAACAAAGCCGCGGGAAATTAAGGTTTGTTTACATCCAGCAGTTCGGCTGCTCTCTCTCTCTCTCTCTCTGCTTGTCTATACAGAGTACAACATTTAACCCTTCAATATATATGAGCAGTAAATAAGTGTTGCTTTCATATTCTTATGTAGAGTAATGACGATATGTTTTCACATGTGCGCACTTACATACGTGCAGTCTCACTTTTTTTTTACCATTAATGGTTAGTTACTTATATTGTTCCATTTATTAACATTAAATAACATTACAGGTACTTCAAACAACCATATTAATCTTTTTACATTAATTTTACTACAGCTACAATCAGGGTCTTATTTTCTTCAGTTTTATATGTAGAACCAATCAGTCACTGGTTTTGTAAGCTTTAACAAAAACAATGCAGGCAGCGGTCTCGTCTCATCGTGTGTTTTCATATTCCACGTATTATTAATAAATTGTATTGTTAATTTTGCACACACAAACATTAATTCAATAAAAACAAATTCAGAAACATTAATTAAAATATATATGAACAGTAAATAAGTGTTGCTTTCATATTCTTATGTAAAGTAATGACGATATGTTTTCACATGTGCGCACTTACATACATGATCACTCTTTTTTCTTTACCATTATCGTTAGCTACTTCTATTGTTCCATTTATTAACATTAAATAACATTACTTAAAACAACCATATTAATTTTACTACAGCTACAACCAGGGTCTTATTTTCTTCAGTTTTATGTGTAATCAACGAAAACAATGCTGTCTCATTTCCTCGTGTTTTAATATTCTACGTATTATTAATGAATTGTATTGCTCATTTTGCACACACAAACATTAATTCAATCAAAAAGACTTTCAGTAATAAACAATAATGAATCTTTTGTACTTAAGAGAAATGACGTTGTTTACACGATTGTGCACATCGTCTGAACGTTGGTGGGCCGTTCAAACCCGTCGAAATTCGAGTTTCCACCGTCAAAATTTTTAAATGTGTTGTTTTTTTTGTGTTCAAATAGAAAACGTCGAATTAAAAACTCGCGAAATTTGAGAAGCTACTGTACGACATTTAACCCTTCAATATGTCTTCAAAGAGACCATGAAGCAGAGAAAATGGTGCTAGTGCTTCCAAGCATAAGCACAAGTCACTATCTATCCAGGAAAAGGGTGAATTCCCATGGTCCGGAAATTTCCATGGTCCGACACCGGTCAGGTCCCGAGGTTGCCGGACTAGAGAGGTACAACCTGTATGATTATTATTATTTTTATTATTATTATTATTATTATTATTATTATTATTATTATTATTATTATTATTATTATTATATTTTTGCCCCCATGCCCTGATGTGGGTCAGTGACCTGTGCCTTGGTGGGTTAATCCTGTAAAAAAAAAATCAAATTTAAACCAAAATTTAGTGAATAACACCACATAAAATATTCAATGTACGTAGTGAACAGTAGAACGTCGATTTAACGGTAATCGATTTAAGATTATTGATTTAAAGCAACACCCACAATTAAGGAACAATGTTTTAATTTAAACGAATCTTTCCTATTTTGCGCGAGTCAATCAAGGCGCATCATATTTTAAATTTTGCGCCTAACGTTTCCCACCAGACGCGTCTCTGGGCACGCTAGACGGCTGCCCGCCACCCTCTCACACCCTCAGTAATTTGGCGATCAAACAAGAAGGCGTGGACAACGCATCTCGCCACTCTAAACACCTGTGCAGTGTGAATAATGACGAAAACTTGACCTTCTTCCCTCCGAACGTGACTTCACTTATTCAGCCACTAGATCAAGGTGTTATTGCCTTGTGCAAGAGATATTATCTCAAGAATACCATGAGGCAAATGGCTGAAGCTATGAACAAGGACAACAATATGACTGCAACAACGTTTTGGAAGAGCTACACCATCAAAGATACGATAACACAACCTGTACTAACTGTCCAGCATAATCAAATAGTTGTACAATACAGTGGCTGTTAAATATGGTTTGGTGTACAAGGAATATAGAACAGCCAAACTCTCACAGATACTACGAGTATTGTACAGTACAGTAAAGTAAAGTACATGCAAAAGAAGAGTGTACACATTGGTTTAATCACTTCATTAAATACAGAGTAAAATCAAGGAAGAATTCTAACATAAAATCTTCTGAAGTAAATCAGACACTGTACACCTCTACACATTTTCTGGAAACTATAACAGGTTATTCAGTTATGGAACAGTGCAAGTTGGTCTAGCAGACACACACAAGATGTTTTGCATATAGTACAGTAATATTGTAATGTCTAATACAGCCCGAGTCATTGCCCTTTTAACAGAGGATGACTTTTTTTTTTAACAGGGTAAAGCCCACATCGGAACCTAGAAGGCGAAAATATACTAATAGTAATAATAATAATACAGTAGACCCTTGCCATTCGTGGTAAGCAGATGGTTGCTATGGTGGCTAGCTTGTAAGCCTTTTCCCGCAGCACAATGAGTCACCACATGTGCCAGAAGTGTCTCTTCTTCCTCTGTTTGCGCTCAACCATTGCCTGCGATGCACCATCTCATGTTGTATGTACTCTCAAAACTTTAGTGTTTCTGTGTGAAATGGCCCCTAAAAGACTATCTTGTGTCAGTGCTAGTGATGCTAGTGGAGTGAAATGTAAAAGGCAGAAGTCAGTGATGACCCTGACAATGAAATTTGAATTATTAGATAAGTAAAAAGAGGGGATGAGTGTTGCCGCGGCTGGTTGGTTGTTTGGTACGGTATAGGTATACAGTACAGTACAGGTAGTTCTGCTATAACGCGATAATTGTGTTCTTGTAAAATATCGTGTTATAGAAAATCGCGTAATAGAAATAACAGGGCTTATGGAGAAAATAGGGTTAGGTGCAGATTACTCGAAATCGAAAAAATTTAGTAGTTAGCCTAACACAAAGGATAGCACAGTCTAAATAAATGTTACATTCATATCTAATAATGAAATCATACAGTAAATTTAACACTTTACCTTGAAAAAATATGAATGTAACTTGATGGGGGAGAAGGGTGATTTTGAGGTTGATAACATCAAGCTTCTCTTCAAGTGTTATATCCTTTCTTTTACGATAATCACCGGGAATTCTATCATCAGAATGCTTTTTGGAGATATTCTTCTTTACCATATTCACAGTTAATACCACAAAATTGGAGAAATAGTAAGCAAAAATCGCGTTATAGCAAACAAGCGATCGCGTTATACAAATATTGTTCCGAATTCATAAATCGCGTTAGAGCAAATTCGCGTTATCAAAACACGCGTTATAGCAGAACTCACTGTAGTGCACTAAGGTAGTACCGTATAAGTTACCATTCCTGGTTTTGCCTATTTGCACCATTCATTGGAACCTAAACCCCGCGAATAACAAGGGTTTACTGTATTAATAATAATAATAACAATTAATAAAAATATATACAAATTATAATAAAAATAAAAATTTTAATAATAGAAAAATTTTAATAATTTAAAAAAAAAAGATTGAGAGTGAGAAACAATATACAGCATGTATGTTGTGTTGTCAATAGTAAGAGAAACAATTGACACCCTGCAGTTGTGTGTAAATGGGGCAGAAAGTCAGATCACCAACCCAGGACTTGGTCACATATGGCAGCAGGGTCTACCATTAGACAATACATTATGCTTCCAATATCTTCCCAGGCGGTAGTACCTCCCTGTTTTATAGCTGCCTACTACCTACTAACTACAAATACAAATTATTCTTCATGCAACAAAACCAACAAATTCACCTAACATAGCTGGAGATATATCCATGCCAACCCACATGTGCCCTTGTTCGGTTATAGTTTCACCAGAGAGCCCTGAGCCACAACCTATATCCAGCAGTAGGGCACAAGTGTCATCTGGGAGGGCCAACAACTCTAGTGCACGCTCCGTACATTTTTCTTGGACCTCAATCACTCGAGTACTGTTGATAGAATTAAATGCTTTTTAGTATTATCTACTGTAATTGCATTTTTACATGGATCTAATATTTGTCTATATAAAACAGGTCTCTCATGGAGTACAGAGCAGCATCAGGTTATGGTTATCATATTAGTGATTAAATCAATATTTTAGAGGCAAATTTAGGGTCTCTATCCACTGGTATCTTCAAATCCTTGCCTTGATGGCATCTGTCAGGAATATCCTAAAAAGAATTGTTATAACATTGAGAGAGTACGGAAAATTATGGAAGATAACATGAAGGTTTCAAAGACAACAACAACAAATGAAGGTGCAAAAATTAGAGCACAGGTACATTTGCTCTGGACAAAAATGTATCTAAGATTTTATGTGATACAATATGACACAATAAACGAAAGATTTTGACAATGCAGTTCTGTACTACTGAGACAACAGGAATTGCAGTGTTCATTCTGAAATTCATCAGAACCCTCCGTAAAGATACCTTTTGGAGCGAGTGTACAAATACGTACTGAGTTTAAACTAGCAACATCTTTGTAAACACATATAGTATGTCCCTATACTGTACTGTACAATACTTAAAAATACCTATCTTGACCAATACAGTACTACTGTACAGTACTGTATTTTGAAACTTGGGAATCATTATTGTTTTACCGGTAAATAAAATTACTGTATACCACCAAATTTCTTCACTAAACAGACACTAACCCTTAGGCCCCGGGTGATGTTCCAGAACATCCGCCTATTTTCCCACCATCTTTTTTAGATTTATTTATTTTTTATTATTTTTGGAAATGTTGATTTTTTTTCTCGATTTAACCCCGGGTTAGGGTACTGCCAGCAGCACCCTAACCCGGGGCTTAAGGGTTAACAATGCAATGATTCCAATGAATTTTCATCACCCTAATAAAAATTATTGTAATTCTTGTAACATAGGATTTTTTTTATTCTGATGAATATCTTGGTTAAAATGCAGAGTTAAACTCTTCTTTTAACATGGCTTAAAATAGACAATATACAATAACAGCATATTGTTACTTACTTTTGAGTGTATTTGCGAGCTTCATCAACTCCATAATACTGCAAGAAAATTAAAAACAACATTACAACTCAATCTGTCACAACTTTCATTGATAATTGCAAGGTAAGAAACAACTTTTCATTTCTATATTTTCCCTACAGTGGCTCATAATAGTGAGCGCTGTTATAAACTACGTACAGTGCAGTACTGTATTGCCCTGCACTGATGCAATTTCTTCAATAAATGCTGTTTGCCTGCAAAACCAACTTGCGTAATCTTGCATTTAACAAGCATAAAATCACGAAATCCTTTGATGACGTTTGGAAAAAATGGAAACTTTCCGAAAGGCCACATACCCCCTGTAATAATACATTACCGTATATGATTTATCCGTCATCAAATGAGCTTGATATTATGCCAATGTTTGTGGAATAATTACCCAATAGGTGAGTTAGGTTCTTCTATTTATGTTCTTGCATGGATCGGAGACTTTCTCCATGATCGCAAGCAGTGTGTGGTGATTAATGGCATGAAATCGTCCTGTGTACCCATGAGGGGGACCACAGGACAGTGTATTGGGCCCGCTGTTGTTTGTTTGCTTCCTAAGTGACATGCCAGAAGGTATACACTCCTCCATACAAATGTTTGCGTATAATACCAAGTTATTTCAGGAAATTAAGAACCAAGCAGATTGTGAAGAGCTGCAGAAGTATTTCTGTGATCTTCAAGAATGGTCGAAGAAATGGCTGCTGAGATTCAATGCCACGAAGCGTAAAAGGCTGCACCTGGGACCTACCAAAGGTAAGGAGGAGTATCATATGTCCCAACGGGACGAAAAAAAATACATTAATTGAGACTGAATGTGAAAAGGACCTAGGTGTGTATGGTGACAATGAGCTGAAGTTCTCGGGTCATTGTGAGAACAAGGTGAATTAGGCAACTAAATTATTAGGTCTTATAAGAAGGTCGTTCAGATATGTAGATGGTCTGTCCCTTGTAACGATTTTCAAAAGTGAAGTGCTTTTCTGTCTGGAGTACTGTCACCCCATCTGGTCCCCAGATACACTAGGGACTGTCAGTTGATTGTAAATGTCCAAAGGAGGGTCACCAGGTTGGTGCCAGCACTTCGGCACCTCAGCTACCCTAAGAGATTAGAACACCTGCAATCGCCTAGCTCATACTACAGACAGGCAAGGGGTGGCCTAATTGAGGTGTATAAGCATCTCAAGGGGCACTACTTAGTCGAGTGTCCTTACCTGGAGCTGGCAGATGCTCGCCCCACAAGGGGTCACAGCTTAATGTTCAAGAAGCCGCAAGTTCAGAAAACTGTGAGGGGTAACTATTTTGAAGTGAGAGTTGTGAACTCTTGAAACAATCTGCCAGAGTGTGTTGTGACGGCACTGAGTGTGAACTCTTTCAAGACCAGACTGGACAAGCACTGGAGTAGGTTCAGATACATTCAGGAGCCAGCCATGCCCAGTACTTGCCATCAGTCCATAACAGAGATAATGACCAATCGCCGAAGCAGCTAATGATGTCGATCAGTGGTGAAGAGGATAAAAGTAAAAAGTTTAAAAATATGGTAATGTCTGAGAATGCCACTACCCACCAGAAGTTGCTTGATTTTGTTAATTTTTTCCACAGACGTTTGTATCATTACAAATGAGTGGGGTTAGGTTTGGTTAGGTTTTGCATTATTGACCTTCATTTCTATAGCAAATTACTACTTTTTGGTGATTTTTCCCCACTCAAAACTACTGGTTCCCACTGGGGGTCCCCCATTATTGAATTGAATTGAATTGAAACAGTTTAATTAGCCAGAAAAACAGAGATACAGAGTGGATAATAATAACAATATTAACATGGTTGAGCCAGTTGAGAACCTGAGCTCTCCTGTAGGCACCTGATATATACTATACATTTATCTCAAAGAAGTATTATGTAACCTTTTGTATCATCTGGAACAGTACAATAGCATGGTGATAATAAGAACATCTCAGAATGTTACCACGGTTATCACTCCAATATTTATTTTTTTTATTTATTTATTATTTTTTATTTATTTTGTATTTATATTATAAGTATATACATAAATTACAGTGGAATTGAAAAACATAAGTATAATGGGGAAGCAGTACAACATGGGTTGTATAGTATTAAGATTGAGCAAGAGGACAGAGCTGTCAGGATTATGTTTAGTTGGCAAATATATTTATTGCAATGGTAATTTCTTATCTATTTACATGATAATTTCCGATAAAACGGTTTTGATGGTACAATAAAAGCAGGTACTGTATATATAGTAGGTATTAGAAGAAATATTAATACTTAGACAAGGGGGGAGACCTCAATAAAATAGCAGTAGAAATGGAGATCAGATTCGTTCAAAGCACATCAAAAACCATTGGAAGAACATAATTTCATCTTCCAAGAACTTAGAGAAACTATGAAAATTTTCCTTTTTGTGATTTTCTCTGAAAGTAATCATGAGTGGAAGAAATGCTATAGAAGAAAAGTGTCTTAGAATTGTTTAAACTACTGATTCCGAAACTTAAATTCCTAAAACTCGCTGGATGACCGAAACGATAATTTTACCGAAAGTACTTAGCCAATCAGAGCGCACTCCCAGTAAAATGGCGGGTAATTAAATAGCGTGGTAATATTGCAGTAAACAGCAACCAAAGAATTCCGGAAATTTACTACACTCAATCGATAGAACTATTTTTTTCTATGATCATTTTCTTATATTACACTTCCGTCACAAATTGATAATAAGGATGTTATTGAATTTTAAAAAGAATATAATTAGAGCACCTGTTGTCCCTATACTGTTGCTCAAATTGTTTGTTCGTTTGGGTTATTACATAGCGCGCCTGGGGGTCCACCGGGGATCCGGGGTCAGGGCCCCTGGATAGGGGGTTAGGTAAGATTTAGTTTGGTTATATTGTATAAGTTAGCAAGCACAGAGTACCGGGAATTCAGAACACGCAATCGATAGAACTATTATTTCTACTATTTTTTGTTAATATACTGTATAGGAATAACCCGCAGATGAGTTGTTTTTATTACTATTTATTTTCTTACATTATTTTCATCAGTCAGTTCTGATGTGATTATCATTTATTGTGCAAATTTCTCGTTTCACAGATAATTAGGCGACGAGGCGCACACTAGTTTGTCTTCCGGGGGATAACGAGGCCGTGCTTAGCCGAGGCGCTTCGCCCGCGTCCAGGGCAGTTTGTTTTTCAGCATGTCGTGTGAAGGTTGTCGCCAGTCTTACATGGACGTAATTTGCGAATTTAGGGATAAAGACAACGAGACCCTTCAATTGTTTAAAGATCACGGCATTATTCCTTTAGATAGAGACTGTCCACACTGTGGAAATCCCTGTGCTTTCCTACTGGAAAGAAATTTGTTTGGCATAATCCTTCATAGCTTCCTCAACACCGTGGCTCGACGTTTCCTGCCATCACAGTAATTCACTTCGCCGCAAACGCCCGCATCATCTCATGTCCAGAAAATGCCTTAAATTTCACCATGTCATAGTAAGTTCTTTCCGTTTAATATACCGGAAGGTCCCCGGTGAGAATGTTAGGTAAGGTTAGGTTAGTTTGTTCGATTAGGTTGGTTAGGTCTGTTCTTCATAACCACAAATGTTAAGTAACATATATTTTAAAAATATCCATTTTTTAACACATTCTATTTCATAAAGGTTACAAAACAGCTATCATCAAAAGGAAATCTGTGATTTGGTTTAAATTCTTTATACACACTATTAACATGATATTAAACACAGAAATGGAAATGACAATGCATAGAACTTGACTTAACAATCACATTTGACTTTTTTCAAAGGAAGTAGCCTGGGTAATTTCATTGACCAGTCTCACAATGGCCGTGGTGGAGGATGGTTGTCATTTGTGCTCCTACGAGTATTTTAAGTTTATTGCTGAGTTTTACGAGAAAGACGATCATTCTATCCAATTCGTATTTATCCCTGGTCCTTCCACTTCCAATTAAGGTATAGTACTTTCGGACATGACGTGCCCCAAAATTTTAACTACCGAGACATTAGGGGTTAGGTTAGGTTAGATGATTCATTTTCATTTTCTCCCCCACCCAAAAACCCCAAATTTCACAGGCTTTCCCCCCATTATTGTTGGGGGGGGCAAAAATTAAAGATATTCGGCGGAAATGAATATCAAATTTGTTAGAAACTCATCAAATATCATCAGAAAAACATATTTTTAATATTCAAACAAAGACCGGTGCATAAGTAAAAACTGACCGAATAAATAAAAAAATCCTAAAAAATACTTAAAATTATAATAGAAAGTTGTCGTTTCTTTTAATATACCCGGTACTTAAAATCAAAATAATAAGTATAGCAAAAATAAAGTAAATCAACAAACAACTTCTAGTGATAGCTGTATTGTAAACATTTACCCCCTATTTTTCATAAATAACAGAATTTCTGTTGAGGGAGGGGGGCTAAATCCAAAACGAGTGGTTTTCGATAAAAACGAATTTCAGATTTGAACCAATCGCATCAGAAAAACATTTTTTATTATGGGTAAATTTTAACTTTAGAACATGAGTCCCAAGGAGTTGACCAATATGTTTTTACAGTGTACAGTGGGGTATGCTATAACGAACGGATCCTACTACGAATATTCCTATAACGAACGGTTTTACCTATAAAATTGAGAATGCTATAACGAACGAAACTCCTACAATGAACATTATTTAATTTTTTTTTTTCTAATTTATTGTTTTTTTATTACAAATATTAATGATATTTATGCACTTTTTTTACAATTTTTACAATTTTATATTATATTTTTCAGTGTTAAGTGGTTGTATTTGGGGGCCTGGAACGGATTAATCCTATAACGAACGAATGCTATAACGAACAAGGTTCTAGAACCAATTAGATTCGTTATAGCATACCCCACTGTATTTTGGTGTGTTTTAAACGAATCTGACCTTCATTTTTGGCGGAAATTGCTCATTTTTTGCCCCCCCACCCCAACAATAACAGGGGAAAGCCTGGGAAATTGGGGTTTTTGGGTGGGAGAGAAAACGAAAACGAATCATCTAACCTAACCTCTAACCGGGGGCTCCGACCCCAAACCCCCAGTAGACCTAGCTTAAACTAACCTAAATGTTTCAGTAGTTAAAAACTTTGCGGCGCGCTACGTTCGAAAGTACAATACCTTAGTTAGAAGTGGAAGGACCAGGGATACGTAAGAACTGGATAGAATGATCATCTTTCTTGTAAGACTCGGCCATAAACTTAAAATGGTAAATTTGCATTGTCACACCGTTCTCTGTTAGAAAGTCAAAAATATATTTTTCGATTGTATTTGTGTGTGTTTAGACCGAATATGACCTTCATTTCTGGGGGATATTAGCGGGTTTTTTTCGATTTTTTTTTCATTGGACGTTTTCCGAAAAAAATCATGGCAAAATACACCAAAAAACACTAGAAAAACAAAAACCAAATCTAACTGAATCTCACTATATGATGGAATCACCTATTTCTTACCTTATTGGCCTGGTTCTTGTGCGCCATTGGATTCTGAGATTCTTACATAACGTCACATATGTTGGTCTTTGCGATATTTACATTCAGTCTTGCTCTTAGTACACTTTACTGAGGTTGGAAGAACACCATGCGATCGAAAAAATGCTACAGTTTCTTCGTCTTTTTCCCAAAAACTCGCAATCAGCTCCATATGATTGAAGTGACACCCATCGCAGACTGCCATGATCGGAACTGAAGTTACTGAACTTGAATTTCGAAATATGAGACCCAAAGTAAAACTCGAATTTGATTGGGCCAAATATACCGCGAATTAAACCCAAAATCATTTTAATTGGTTTAAAAAACAAAACGCTTTTGATTGGTCGTGTGATGATTTATGAAGGAGACGCAAGAGACCAGCAGTGTTGGAGGAGAGGCAGACGATAATGGCGGAAGATTAATGGAAGAAAATAAAGAAAATTTTGGATACGCTATCTCCGTTATTATACATTTCCCCCAGTAATGTAATATATGAAAATTATCTTAGAATTAGACGTCTTATTCGAATATGATAATAGATTAGTGGTAGGAATGAACAGTGTATAAACGCAATAATACCCTTAAAATAATCATAGATGCACAAACGACAACCAACCTCCACCATGGCTATTGTGAGACTGGTCAATGGATTACCCAGGCTGCTTCCTTTGAATAAATCAAATGTGATTGGTAATAAAAAAATTTGCATGATGATGATATCAATAATACATCTTTGGTCACAAAATTGTGCATGCGTGATGCGCCGTTAACATCTCACAGGCGGACCGAGAGCTACGTAAAATCAATTAAATTCAATTGAGTCGCTATTTTCCATTTCCGAATGGTATAAATTGGGGTTCAAAATGCTCAGAATAGCGAGAACTAAATGTTTCCGTTTATAACTTTCTGGCGCGCTATGTCCTAAATAAGATAATACCTTTTTCATCAGATTCTTTGGTTGATGTAATATGTAATTTTACCAATAGCGTTAGTGCGAATTTTGCTGGTCACGGCAAAATATCCACTACGTAAATCTTACGGCCTCTCCACATGGGGTTTGGTACCATAAGGTAACGCGACCATGAGTGAAAACACTTGGTCAATTATCCAAAAGTTTTGAATTCGTAGCATTTAGGGTTGACCGCTTCCCTTCACAACTAACAAATAAAATAATAAAATACAGCTTATCACACACACACACACACACACACACATATATATATATATATATAAAGTGTCAGCATCACACCACTTCAGGAGGGGCCTGTAGCTCTGGCCTTTTCGACATGTTCTTCAGATTGTAAACAATAACACGTGCAAGTTATTTTAACAGTGCTTTTGACAGCATCACAAACTAGAATTACCGAATATATATATAGTGTATATATATATATATATATATATATATATATATATATATATATTGATAAAATCACACATTAAAAAGGGAAACAATAGAGCACCTTAACTTTTACTTTTATCCTCTTCACCACTGATCGGCTCGTTAGCCGCTTGGGCGATCGGTCACGTCTCTGTTACGCATTGTTGGCAAGTACTGGGCATGCACCGGCTCCTGAATGTACCTGAACCCGCTCGGTGCCGTCACAACACTTTCTGGTAGATTGTTCCAAGAATTTACAACCCTCACTCCGAAAAGGTTTGCCCTCACAGTTTTCTGGACTTGCAGCTTCTTCAATCTTCAAGCTGTAACCCCTTGTGGGGCGAGCGTCCGCCAGCTCCAAGTAAGGACACTCGACTGAGTAGTGCCCCTTGAGATGCTTATACACCTCAATTAGGTCACCACTTGCCCGTCTGTAGTATAAGCTAGGCAAGTTCAGGCGCTTCAATCTCTCAGGGTAGCTGAGGTACTGAAGTGCAGGCACCAGTCTGGTGGCCCTCCTTTGAACATTTTCAACAAACTGACAGTCCCTAGCATATCTCGGGGACCAGACGGGGTGACAGCACTCCAGATGGGGAAGCACTTCACTCTTGAAGATCTTTACGAGGGGCGGACCGTCTAGATATCTGAACGACGTTCTTATAAGACCCCACTAATTTATTTTCCTAATTTACCTTCTTCTCGCAATGGCCCGAAAACTTCAGCTTATTGTCAACATACACACCTAGGTCATTCTCACATTTAGTCTCAAATAGTGCAGTTTCTTCATCCCGTTGGGACATATGGTACGCCTTCTTACCGTTGGTACGCCCCAGGTGCATCCTCTTACACTTCGTGACATTGAATCTCAGCAGCCATTTCTTCGACCATTCTTGGAGCCCACAGAGGTCCTTCTGCAGCTCTTCACAGTCCGCTGGGTTCCCGATTTCCCGAAACAACTTGGCGTCATCGGCAAACATTTGTATGGAGGAGTGTACAACGTCAGGCATGTCATTTATGAAACAAACAAACAACAGCGGGCCCAATACACTGCCCTGTGGTACCCCACTTGTGACAGGTACAGATGATGATTTCGTGCCATTAATCACCACACACTGCTTGCGGTCATGTAGAAAGTCTTCAATCCACGCGAGGACATTTCCCCGAATTCCGTACCCTATCAGTGTGATTTTTAGCCTTTTGTGGGGTACATTGTCGAAAGCCTTGGCAAAATCTAGGTAAGTATTGTCGATATTACCACTTCGTTCCAGAATATGGGTCCAAATATCCAATACCTTGAGCAATTGTGTTAAGCAGGAGCGCCCCGGCATAAAACCGTGTTGGCAATCCTTTACAAGGTTGTTTCGTAGTAGATGTTCCATTGCGGCATCTCTGATAATACTCTCAAGTTCTTTACATATTATGCTGTTCAGGCTCACCGGTCTATAGTTGTTCGTGGAGTGACGATTGCCCTTCTTGAAGATGGTAGTTGCAGATTCTGACCAGGGTAAAGCTGAGGCATTGAACAGCTATTTTTCCTCGTTGCTCACAAGAGAGGATGCGATTAACCTTCCTGCGTTTGAGGACAGACGGTTCGACACAGCACTGACCCACATTGTGTTCACAGAAATGGGTATTAGAAATAAACTGCCAAAGCTAAAGGTCCATAAGAGTCCCGGCCCTGACATGGTGCATCCTAGAGTGCTAAGAGAGTTGCGCAACGAGCTTGCCGAGCACCTGAAGATCCTGTTTTGTATATGCCTGGATGAACAAAAGGTCCCCAGTGATTGGAAAATGGCTTATGTGAGTCCTATCTTCAAGAAGGGCGATCGTCACTCCACGAACAACTATAGACCGGTGAGCCTGACCAGCATAATATGAAAAGCACTTGAGAGTTTTATCAGAGATGCCGCAATGGAACATCTACGACGAAACAACCTTGTAAAGGATTGACAACACGGTTTTATGCCGGGGCGCTCCTGCTTAACACAATTGCTCAAGGTATTGGATATTTGGACCCATATTCTGGAATGAAGTGGTAATATCGACAATACTTACCTAGATTTTGCCAAGGCTTTCGACAATGTACCCCACAAAAGGCTGAAAATCACACTGGAAGGGTACGGAATTCGGGGAAATGTCCTCGCGTGGATTGAAGACTTTCTACATGACCGCAAGCAGTGTGTGGTGATTAATGGCACGAAATCATCATCCGTACCTGTCACAAGTGGGGTACTACAGGGCAGTGTATTGGGCTCGCTGTTGTTTGTTTGTTTCATAAATGACATGCCTGACGTTGTACACTCCTCTATACAAATGTTTGCCGATGAGGCCAAGTTATTTCGGGAAATTAAGAACCAAACGGACTGTGAAGAGCTGCAGAAGGGCCTCTGTGGGCTCCAAGAATGATCGAAGAAATGGCTGCTGAGATTCAATGTCACGAAGTGTAAGACTGTAAGAGGATGCATCTAGGGCGTACCAACGGTAAGGAGGCGTATCATATGTCCCAACGGGATGTAGAAACTGCACTATTTGAGTCAATGTGAGAAGGACCTAGGTGTGTATGTTACTTTTACTTTTATCCTCTTCGCCACTGATCGGTTTGTTAGCCGCTTGGGCGATCGGTCACGTTTCTGATTACTTTTCCTTTTCATTTATCTTCTTCACCAAAAGATCGGCTCGCTAGCCACCCGGGCGATCGGTCACGTCTCTGTTACGCACTGTTGGCAAATACTGGGCATGCACCGGCTCCTGAATGTACCTGAACCCGTTCCAGTGTTGGTCAAGTCTTGTCTTGAAAGAGCTCACACTCGGTGCCGTCATAACACTCTCTGGTAGATTGTTCCAAGAGTTTACAACCCTCACTCCAAAAAAGTTTGCCCTCACGGTTTTCTGGACTTGCGACTTCTTCAATCTTGAGCTGTGACCCCTTGTGGGGCGAGCGTCCGCCAGCTCCAAGTAAGGACACTCAACTGAGTAGTGCCCCCTGAGATGCTTATACTGTACACCTCAACTAGGTCCCCCCCTGTTCGTCTGTAGTATAAGCTAGGCAAGTTCAGGCGCTCCAATCTCTCAGGGTAGCTGAAGTGCCGAAGTGCAGGCACCAGTCTGGTGGCCCTCCTTTGAACATTTTCGACAATGAGCTGAAGTTCTCGGGCCATTGCGAGAAGGTAAATCAGGCAAATATATTATTGGGTCTTATAAGAAGGTCGTTCAGAGTGAAGTGCTTCCCCACCTGGAGTACTGTCACCCCGTCTGGTCCTCTAGATATGCTAGGGACTGTCAGTTGGTTGAAAATGTTCAAAGGAGGGCCACCAGACTGGTGTCCGCACTTCGGCACCTCAGCTACCCTGAGAGATTGGAGCGCCTGAACTTGCCTAGTTTATACTACAGACGGGTAAGAGGTGACCTAATTGAGGTGTATAAGCATCTCAAGGGGCGCTACTCAGTCGAGTTGTGACGGGCCGAGTTTTTTCTTTTTATATTTTACCATCCAGATATTCTTTTCTGTATTACTCTTCAATTCTTTATTTATAAATATACTTTATATTCTTATTTAGTATTCTTATATAAGTAATTCTTGTCTTAGTTATGTCTGTGTTCTATATTAAACTTTCATGGTGTATTTATTTGATAATTTCTATGCTGTGTCGTTAGATCCACAATGTACATTTATGTCTTATCTTTCTTTTCTTGTACTTTCCAGGTCTTTCATTTCTTTCATATATATTATATTTACTCAGTTTCAATGTTCTTACCTTTCTGAAGTATACTCTGTTTTACGTCTATTCTTATACATAGGTTAGTCTGGGGAACCATGTTACTCTTAGTACAACACTTTTTATACTTACAAAGGGTAGCTGCCACCACCCAGACTTTTCATAATATAACATAACTCATGGAAAGTTTTTGGGTAGTGTGGTAGATGTATAGGCACGTGAGTAAGTATTATTTTCTGGGAACCAATGTTTAGAAGGAGTAGAGTGGTGATACTAGTAGATTACTAATTCAATATTTATTAACACAGTGAGTGGATAAGATGCATCTTAGATTCACTCAGACAAAACAGAACCGCAAATTAACTTATTACGTCATCAAACACTTCAAGAACTTATTACCTCATTAACCACCTCCAAATACTTATTATACCATTAAACAACTCCAAGTACTTATACCATTCAACAACTATTACTCATTACTTCATTAGACAACTGTTGTATTATTTCTTTGACAAGTAAGATTTAGAAATGACTACACACTGTCAATAACACTGGACCCGCAGGTCTTACTTTAACAAGGAACAAATTACCTCCTCAATTCTTGGTTATAACTTCATACTCTCAGGTATCCTTTCCTGGTCACTACCGACGAATACATAACACACTGGACAACTCCACAATTATAGTAACATACAATACCTCCTGTTAGTTCGCAAGGAACAACCTGGTACCTTGAACTCTCTTTCAGTGGTTCAATACTTAACCTGGGATGACTATATTTCTGCTAGTCATCCCCAAGCATGGATATTAATACGGCTCCATACATATAACCAAGAACAGTAGATAGACCATGATCGTACGCTCGCTCGCTTGCTCGGAGCGCCTGGCCCGGGAAAGGTTGACTCGTGGCGGTGGGCAGTGGCGTCTGCCAAGGAATCTCGCCCTGGGATTCTAATCTCGCCACCTTAAAGACATCCTTCGAGAGACATCGTGCCCATAGGCGGCTCCCGAACTTCAGGAGTGTTGCTAACCCCGACAACAGCGTCTGGAGACGTGGAAGAGAAATCGCAGAGGGCGTGAATATTTAACTTCACTATACAAAACATACGTCTGGCACCGGTCCAGACGATAGCTAGATCTCTACTTTACTCGACTCAATTGGCACGGAAGTTACCATGTTAAAACATGAACACTGATATTCACAAAATTGACTAAGTTAAACTGAATTAATATGGCGGCGTGGAACACACGTGAACATACCTGGAGACGTGGAGGAGAGATCACAGAGGGAGCGATTTTTCCTCGCTCGCCGGCATATATACGGGCCTGAGGGCATATTCCTACTAGAAAGACTAATTTTACTAACAATAGGCCCTCTATTCAAAGTAGTCGTTGGACACCTAGCTGTGACCGTCAGCGTCACAGATCAGGCTAATTATCTACATCTATATTTATGATCTAATCAGAGATTGAGTTTGTCAGTAAAGAGGTGAAATGGAGTTATATGCGTTCGCAACTCTATTGGCCTGACCGCAAACCACATCCCAGGTCAAACAGCCGTTAAGTCTTGGAGAATTTTGAGTTTGACCGGAACTGTTCAGGAGATTAATGAATTTCTTAAATAAACAACTGACACTAACTAAACTATAAACATCAGATTCTCTGATGTCGGGGCGACAAAATAATATAACTTCAGTAACGATCAGAAACTCATGGGTATCCCCACGGACGACCTAAAATACGCCACTCTAGCTGGCAAACTCGACACTAGCTTACTTGACACGTCTTATTAACAATAAGGACAGTTGAAGCATTCAACACCACTTACAATGGATCTTGAATGTTCCAACTGTAAACAGACATATCTAAGTTGACTCAAGACAAGGGTGTTCTCTCTCACACTCAAATTCATTTTATAGAGAGGTTGGTTTCAGTAAGTCAGAGAAAATGGGATAACGGAGAACTGAGGCGTCTTGAAGTGATGAGAAAACGGACTCCTCAGATGGAGGACTCAAAATAAAAACAGAGTTACATGTTTTGTGGCCTATTGAGCGTAATATGAATCATTTGATTTTGGCGTTAACTGACGTGTATGACCGTGGTCGTTACAGAGTGTCCTTACTTGGAGCTGACGGACGCTCGCCCCACAAGGGGTCACAGCTCAAGCTTGAAGAAGCCACAAGCCCAGAAAACTGTGAGGGCAAACTTTTTCGGAGTGAGAATTGTTAACTCTTGGAACAATCTACCAGAAAGTGTTGTGACGGCACCGAGTGTGAGCTCTTTCAAGACAAGACTTGACCAACACTGGAGCGGGTTCAGGTACATTGAGGAGCCAGTGCATGCCCAGTACTTGCCAATAATGCGTAACAGAGACGTGACCGATCGCCCAAGCGGCTAACGAGCCGATCATTGGTGAATAGGATAAAAAAAGAAAAGAAAGAAACCCAACTTAGTCAAGATATTTGTGTTTTTCCTGGTTCTCCTCATTGTTATGAAAGTACGCTTTCCACGTAACAAGTACATTGCTGAAGTTGTGTATATATATATATATATATATATATATATATATATATATATATATATATATATATATATATATATATATATATATATATATATATGACTTTAATCAAAGAAAATAATTCCTCAATTAATGTTGGAACTGTCAAAAATATTTACTCATGTATGAATACTTATTAACACTATTCACCTGTAGTTGTCATGACAACCAGGAGGGATCTGTCGTAAACACAACAGGTTCCACTGGCTGGCGAGTGAATGAAATTCGCTGTGATTCCTGAAATATCATGAATTAAAAAAAAAAATTTTGAAATAAATGATAGTGTAATTGCATATATTTTTCAATGGTAATACACAAAGTCTTGTAAAATCCTCAAGTGATGTGTACGACAACTTCCTGTAATGACGGCATCGAAGTCATCCAGGTTTTAACAGATGTACGCAACACCATCGACGTTTAGTGACTACTATTTACCTTCTGTACTGTACTAAGGTAAGTCTTCAATACATTTTGACATGAGTTTTGCTTCAGTTTTTTTTTATTAAGCAACGAGATCCATATTTTGTAGTTATTTTTATTTTTTATGGAGACATAAACTTTATAATGGTTATATAAATGTTATAGTGATTTTTAATGGAATGTGTCATGTAATAAGTCAAAGTTACAAATTACTGTAAGATTTTGGAGATTAAACCCAAACTAACCGATCAGTGGCGAAGAGGATAAAAGTAAAAAGTAAAGTTGTCTATTTATTCCGAAAACAATATTTCTAATGACCGTTGTTGTATATCTGACCTATTTTAATCTAATGTTCATAAATTCAGTCTACTGTATACAACACATTGGTCCTATTAGTGTTGCAAAGTTGACTTGGTTATTAATATTCACAAGATCTTTCTCAGAATTAATGTCAATGAATATTATTTCAATACCTTTTTAGGTATCAATAAGCAATAAAAATTGACTGACCTTGTATTAGAGTACAGTATTGACACATTCCAACCATGCATGCTACTCTAAAGAGTCTTAATGGTTACTATGAATTGTACAAGAGGCCAGACAAACCCTGCAGTCAATGAATCGATGAATGCCAAGCCAAAAAGTTGAATCAATCTACAGATGCTAAAATCTAAAATTAAAAATGTTTTTAATTGACTCTTTTGTCACATTTGTATATTTCCAATGCCTTTTAGAAATCTTTAATCATACTGTACGTATTTTCAATAATGTTACACAAGAACATTACTGTATCAAGAATATATATTGAGTCCACTTTTAATGTAGATCCATTTCTATGACTAAACCTGGAGGTTAGTAACCATTAAAGTAAACACTGAGCCTGCAGATCACAAGCATATCCCTAAAAGGGGTCTTCAGAAGCATCAACCACAAGGTAATGGGTCAGTGGGTATTGGTGGTACAGAAGTAATACATTGTGTCCTGGGTTCAATCCCCTGCCCATGACAGATGTGAGAAAGGTGTTATCAGTGTGATCCTACTAAACATTACAGCTTTTCTTAGGATACTCTACATTTACTTTTATTGTCTTCACCACTGATCGGCTCATTAGCCACATGAGCGGTCAGTTATGTCTCTGTTGGCAAATACTGGGCACGCAATGGCTCCTGAATATATCGGAACCTGCTCCAGTGTTGGTCAAATCTGGTCTTGAATGAGCTCACTCTGTGCCATCATAACGCTCTCTGGCGGGTTGTTCCAAGAGTTCACAATTCTCACTCCGAAAAAGTTTGCCCTCACAGTTTTCTGAACTAGTGGCTTCTTCAACCTTGAGCTGTGACCCTTGTGGGGTGGAAGTCTGCCAGCTCCAGGTGTGTACATTCAACCGAGTAATGCCCCCCCCCCAGATGTTTCTACACTTAAATTAAGTCGCCCCTCGCCCGTCTGTCGTATAAACTAGGTAGTTGCAGGCACTCCAATCACTCTGGGTATCTGAGGTACCATAGAGCAGGCACCAGTCTAGTGACCATCCTTTGGATATTTTCAATCAATTGACAGTCTCTAGCATACCTCAGGGATCAGATGGGGTGACGGTACTCCAGACGGGGAAGCACCTCACTCTTGAAGATCGTGACGAGCGATGGACCATACAGATACAGTATCTCAATGACCTTTTACGACCTGCTAGTTTCGTTGTCTGAGTCACCTTCTTTTCACAATGGTCCGAAAACTTAAATTCATTGTCGACATACACACCCAGGTCCTTTTCACATTCAGTCTCAATTAATGCAATCTCTTCTTTCTATTGGGACATGTGATACGCCTTCCTACCGTTGGTGCGACCCAGGTGCATCGTTTTGCACTTAATGACATTGAATCTTAGCAGCCATTTCCTCAGCCATTCTTGAAGCTCATAAAGATCTTTCTGTAGCTCTTCACAGTCTGCTTGGTTCTTAATTTTCATAAATAACTTGGCATCATCCGCAAACATTTGTATGGAGGAGTGTATAGCTTCTGGCATGTCATTAATGAAGCAGACAAACATCAACGGGCCCAATACACTGTCGTGTGGTATCCCGCTTGTCACTGGTACACATGATGATTTCGTACCATTTATCACCACACAATGTTTGTGGTCATGCAGAAAGTCTCCGATCCACGCGAGGACACTTCCCTGAATCCCATACCCTTCCAATTTGATTCTCAGTCTTTCATGGGGTACGCTTTCGAAAGCCTTGGCAAAATCTAGGTATATAATGTCGATATTTCTGCCTTGTTCTAGAATTTGAGTCCAAAAGTCATAACAAATTAATAAAGAACAGACTAACTGCCAGAATGTCCAGTAAGATGATAAGTGGTGAAATGATAAATAATAATACTGTACTGTAGCATGAAGGCAGCCTGTTTGTCATTCAGGTCGATCATTTTGTATGTCAGGCACAATCATTTAGTCTCAGCAGAGTTTCCTTGCTACCCACATGGAGGATGAGAGCAGGCAGGTCACTTAGCTCTGGGCTTGATCATAAAGAGAAATTTTAAGATCAATCTTCCATATATGGCTTGATGCCCCTTACTAAGTGAATTGTGTAACTGAAATCTGATTGAACATGGGAGGCAGCGCTAACACCTCCATCAGCTGATGCAATGATGCACCCTACTGGGGGAATTAAACTTACATTATTCCATGTTATTGTAAATCTCGAGGAACACTCTCTCACCTAATTAACTCCACAGTGAACACCTACATAATTATCCTCTTTGAGTACTGGAGTCTAGAAGACCTCCCAAGGATGTTCAATCATCTGATGACAATGATACTTGAGCCAGAATCATGCAGATCATTAATTGACACTTATAATAGTGATATCTCCTTTAGCCGGAACAATTGGTGCAGAGCACTTCCAGAAATGAGAGATTTCCGGGTAATGAGACTACTTCCCAGAGCCGGTAAAAAATCTCTCATCCCCGGATTTTCCAGGTAATGGAAAAATGTTCTCGAAAGTTCCAGAAATTGCCTATTACATCATCTCTCAAACCTGGAAAAATATCCCTCATCCCTGGAATCTTCCAGGCGCCGGAAAATTTTTCTCGGAATTTCCGAAAAATGTGCCTGATTTTCATCTTTCAAACCCGGAAAAAACTCCCCCATCCCTGGAATTTTCCAGAAAATATGCCTCTTAGAAAATCGTTCCCAAAGCCGGAATTTTCTGGAAAATTCCAGCTTTGGGAACGATTTTCCGAGAAAATTTCAATTCCGGCCATCGGAGAGTTCTGGGTTTGAGGGATTCCGACTAATGGAGATATCACTATCTTGTGTTAGCAAAGGGGTTGCATGACATATTTTGCTGCACCAGCAAGGATAAAGGTAGTACAGTATACTGGACTGTACTATACCTACTACTGTAGTTACAGTGCAGTTACTGTACAGTACTTGAAATATGGATGGATTAATAAAACTGTATTGACCACACTGTAAACATGTTAAATTCCAATGTTTCCATTTGTAGTGGATTGATTGTAAAGATAAATATTTACAGTATTTAATCGTTGTAGCTACCATTATTTGATTGGCTTTGATAACATTAGCAGAGTTAATGAATAAGAGATTCTGTATTCCCAAAATGTTTACTATACAGTATTGTGTTTAGGTATTGTACATGAAGTGCAAAACCTTGCTATACCCCTGATACTGCCATCATTGTCATTAATATCATGAACATAAGTTAACCTTGTTTGTCCAAGTCCTATTTTGTACAGCATCTCAAATGTAATAATTACCGTATTTGCCGGCGTATAAGAGGCACATAAAAAAAAGTATTCTAAATTACCCTGCGTCTAATGCGCCAGTATTACGGATGGGAGGCCGAGCGCCGTAGGTGGAGATGCCTAGCTAGGGAGTCTTGGATGAGCAGTAGTCCACTAAGCACAAAAATTGTTACTAATAATAAAATACTGAAAAACAAGCCAAATTATCACAAACTTAAAGCAAATTTGTCGAAGACGTAAATAATGGCTTACATTGGCTTAACGGCAGAGAGAAGCTCACAACATCTCGCTGTACCTCCTTCCCCATCATATGTAACCCACACCAGATACATGTCTTACATTATTTAACAACTATGTTACCTTTAAGAAACATTTGTTTATTATCTAAATGAAAAATGACCCTAGAAAGAATAAAGAAATGTTAACAGAAAGTTCCGCCGCCAGTCAGCCATTTGCAATGAGTCGATGACGCCAAAACAATAGCGATGGTGCTACACCCTGGTGGCCGATCGCGGCAACACAAAACATCACAGCCAAAAATATGAGTTTCACATCCTGCCGGTAATTCTCTTGACCAAAATATAAACAAGCCACACAGCTGCTCTGATCAGAGGTAGAGTTGGGTTAGTATAATGTTACTATACCCTGTATATGATTTCCTACTTGATTCCAGTACATATTGTATTTACATGCACAAAATCTTATGTTTTCCCCTACAAAACCACTTTCAATAAATGGATGATGAAACGTACTAAAAAAACCATTTCCACAAAATATCCTTTTAAAATAGGGGTGCATCTTATGCGGTGGTGCGTCTTATACGCCGGCAAATACGGTATATACACCACTGATGAGCTACATTATTTTCAGATTGCTGTTGAGAATAAAGTTCTGATACTGTATTAGTTATTTCATGCAGATGGGCCTGGGTGGTGATTTGGTTGCATTATGGGAGGTTCCACTCAATGATGGTGTCCACAAGGTGGGATTTGAACATGGCACCACCACAGGTAGAAGAGTGCTGTGGGTGGATGGAGAGGTAAGGATTACTGTATTGTGAAATACTGTGCAGAATGTGTTTAGTTCTTCTCCAGAAGAAAATGTGATATGTTTTACTGTACTGTACATTGAAAAATATATACAGTATATGGCATTTTTAACCCCTTCACTATGGGAACACCACTTTTTGAAATTTTATTTGGCTAATGCCAGATAATTTTATTCAGCACAGAGGGGATCCCAAACACAAGTGGTTTAGAAGGTGTTGCCTCATTTTGGCAACCTTTGTAATGTTACCAAGAGTAACACTCTGTCACTGAATTCTTTTTTCTTGTTGCCATTTTCCCCACTTGAATTTTTACTTCAGTGTTCTTCATTTAAATTTTCACTTTCTTCCCCATGCCTCACTTAATATTTATTAATCTTGTTTTTCCCCTTTCCTACTCTTCGCCTGTAGTAGTTGGAATTCTCCTTGCTTCACACATCATTTTTACCCCATGTGTGTATTGCCTGATTTACTGCAGCAATTTTCTTCTTTATTTGATAATTTTCTCTCTTTTTGTGTATGATTTATCATCAACATTGAAAAAAATGCAGAGGTTTCTAAATATTTAGAATACTGCACAGTACTATTACAATATTTAATATTTGCATCAGTGACCCAAGATGTTGGGAAGAGATTTCATGTGTCTTACAACGAGACTGAATACTGATACAATTTATATTGTATAAGAATGACAGAGTTATTTGAAAAAGCTTACATGTAGCTTTTATTTTTCAGGAGAGAGTACACCATGACTGGATGTTTAAATTGGTTGGAGCTGAAGTTTTTGAAATAGGCAGTACCAAATGCGTCATAAAAATTGAACCTATTGGTGGGTTTTCTTATGAATATTCCCTTGAGGTAGGTTCTCTTAGATTTTAATTTTTTTTCCAAGGTAAGAAAAGGAACCATAATACAGTACCCCTGTTGATAATTTCTGGCTATGACCCTAAAGCCAGGCTGCTCTCACACAGTATAGGGCAAATTACTGGGTGGTTTACTTACTGAGACAACCCCTTATATTGTCAGCCTGAGATGGTTGTAGGCTACAGGAGGAAGACTGGAAGGAGTGTAAGTTTGGGATGGCATTACTACCTATACTGTATTTACAATACAAGAGTGCTCTGCTAAGCACTAAGTTGGTATGAGAGATAAAGAGCCATGTTAAGACTTTTGGAACTGTTCATGGTAATACAGTAATCCCGTGTTTTTTGCATTTTTTTTTATCGCGGTTTTGACAATTCGCATTTTTTTTTACTAAAAAATTATATATATATATACTGTATATATATATATATATATATATATACTGTATATATATATATATATATATATATATATATATATATATATATATATATATATATATATATATATATATATATATATATACAGTCAACCCTCACATTACGCGGTCCCGCATTCCGCGTTCACCGTTAACGCGGTGCCCTGCCGGAACCTAACATGCTCACATTCCGCGGTCGTGAACCCCATTACGCGGAGAGCGGCTGGCAAGCCGCGCCATTTTTGGATCCAAACCTCCCGCCATCCGCCATGTTGTGTAAGAGGCGCGAAAATGGTGCGCACAAGGTCGCCCAGTCATCAAAACATTACCAGTTCTTCACCCGCCACCCACTACAGCCGGCCCAAGTCAGTGATAGTGATAATTATAGTGAGGATATGGACTTATATGAACTTTGGGGGGTTTGACAAAGAGGCCCTGCAAGCCTCTGTGGTGGATAATGATACAATTGATACAAGTGATACAGGTGAGGGCCAATAATCTGCCCTCTGCCTCGGAACCAACCGCCCATCCCCGTGTGCCCAGCCATCTTTTCTACTCATGTAAGTGTTAAAAAACCTAATATTATTGATATTTCTCTTAATTATTAATTGTGTGTGCATGCCATCATAAAGTTAAGATAATATTTTTACTACAACATAGTTGTGTGTCGTCAAAAAGTGGAGTTTGGGGGTCGGCCTGGACTCTATTTCAATTAATCCCATATGTTATGTTATTCACTTTACGCGTTCCTCACTTTCCGCGGTACCCTCCGGGTTACATTAACTGCGTAAAGTGAGAGTTAACTGTATGTGTGTGTATATATATATATATATATATATATATATATATATATATATATATATATATATATGCAAGTAAATCACTGTAGGTGCGCATGATCTAGGTATATGCTGATAACCACAAGGAAAGAAGAAAACACGAAGTTCCCAAGCACTTTCGTGTAATTCACATCTTCAGGGGTGAGTACAGACTAAAGAGAAATACAAACCAAGGTGTATATATATACAGAGGAGGGTGAGACCAGGTCCACAATGGTCAGGTATTAGGGAATGACCCTACTAATCTTTAAATAGCACACAACGGTTGGTGGTCAGGTCAGATGGTCAGGTGACCCGACCTTCTCACCTTATTACAAATCTTCTTAATTACAAAATTGTCCAGCTTGTACATGTCGTTACTCAAATTCACGTTGAATGCTTCGCTGTTCCTACTATCAATTGAATTACAGTACTGTACATGCCTCCTCAATATTACCATGTAATTCAATTGATAGTAGGAACATCATAGAATCTAGTCTTACTATCGAGGTCATATATATATATATATATATATATATATATATATATATATATATATATATATATATATATCCATAAAATTTGTTTCCGTTTATTCAAAAACATCTTCAGGAGGCAACTGAAGATGTTTTAATAAAGACGAAGCTAAGGTGTCTGTTTCTATTTTCTTCCAGTGATTTTATCAAGATATATATATATATATATATATATATATATATATATATATATATATATATATATATATATATATCCTTTAAAAACAAAATTTTCAATTTCGCGCCACTTCCGATATTTCCCTGTGTGGTGCGGCAAACAGACGCCACTCTTTCCCGCCTCAGACACCCGCTGCTCCGAGAAGCCTCAGTCCACACGTGCCTACCGTACTGTGAACGCTACTGTGATTACCTCTTCTGTTTGTCCTCCCACGTGCATTCCACATGGCTCCGGGACGTAAGCCAGCCTCATCAAAGGCAAATATTACTAGCAAAGACTCCAAAGTGACCAAGAGATCAAGAATGGTGATGACCTTAACGGAAAAAATAGTTTTATTGGACAAGCTCAGAGGAGGTATGAGCTATGGCTCGAGATGTGATGAAAACTGACAAATCATTTGTGTCTTTTGTCAGAATACAAGTCTAAAAGTGGAAGAGGACTGGCTGGCTGGCGTGACGGTGTGAGGGTGGGCAGACGCCAGGACAGCAGGGAGAGGCTGGCAATGCGAGTGTTGCCGACCTCAGCGAAATAAAAAAAAATTATTTACTTGTAAATAAATTTTTTTTGTATATAACTGTGTTTACGTTTTTCCATTATTATACTATAATATGATTAGTTTCAAATAATGATGTTAGCAAATGCCGGTACAGTGCATCAGTGATCAGTGAGACCACTGGCCCGTGAGTGGAGAGCATGGTGTGGTTAAGTGCATGACCTACCTGAGCTGTTTGGTGGCCACAGGTACAGTGATTCCTAAAAGAGTATTCGCAATTTGGTTTTTCGCAGGGATTTCAGGAACGTAATTCCCGCGAAAAACATGGGATTACTGTATCAGTAGGTTTTATAATGGTCAACATGTCAAACATTTTAGGAGGATCTTTAGTAAAGATGGACGTTTTCACACAAACTTCAAGGTTGATTAAGACTGGGGGGCATATTGCTAACTACAGTATTGGGAAAAGTAATGGAGGTAAGGAATATGGGCCAGAAGGTGTGGCAGTATAAGTTGGAAGGTATACAATTTCAGAATGACTTGGAGAATGTGAGCAGACAAGACAGTGCAAGATATGGTTATTTAGTCAGAAAATTTATCTGAACGCAATACCTGTACTGTGATGAGATGCAGCAGGAGGGATTGATGATGAATGAAAGTATATTACTGTAAAGATATAAAAATGCATGAGGAAGAAGAGATGGAGAATGACTAGAAGAGACATAGCTTTTGTTCTTTACTGGATGATAAGATATGCAGTCTTAGATATGATGGAGACTGATTTAGTAGTGTATGGTGGCATGAACAAAAATCATTTGATTTTGGGAAGGTTTTACATAAAGTTTATTGATTTATTTCATGCACTTCATTTGTAAAATGTATTAATATCTGTATCATCATAATTATGATATCTACAGATATGTTTTCAGTAGGAAGGCAAGACCTTGAATAACCTTCAGCTTATTAAGCAGATTAGATGTTGTACTTAACACTGACATGTTCAGTGTAGCAATAACTTACCTTTTATACATATATATTGTCCTTTGCTTTACTACAGTAATCATTTGGCAGGTAAATGGCAAGAGCTACAAAAAATTTACCGAGAACCAGAGTAAAATACTCAAGACTTGGTTCTTTCCACATTTCGGGTCCTTTGTCCGTGTGGTGCTTGAGAAGGACACTTTAGATGTCTGGGTCAATGGAAAGAAATTGGATACTGCAGTAAGTATGTACTGTACTTAATGTAGATAGAGGTAACACTTCAGTTAACATTAATGATCTCTCATCTGTTCTGTATCACCCCCCAAAATATTAACCTCTCCACTATGGGGGATGCCACTTTTAATATTTTATTTGGATAATGCCAGGTGATTTTATTCAGCTTAGAGGGGAACCTGTACACAAGGGGTTAAGAACATAGCATAGGTGAAAAAAGTTTAATTCCACTCCAGTTAACCCTGGGCTTTGGTTCACATCATATGACTGTGCTTACAGGGTTTCAGTTCATTTCATATGATGTTTCATAATTTTGCGGCATTGTTTGAATCACCACGTGGGCCTGGCTAGATTATGTTGCCAAGTAGGTATTTATCTTTTACTCACACATGTAAGCCTCCCAACTTCTCATCTTTTGTGATGTGGTGATCTCACCCATGGACTTCACTCTCCTCACCACATGTACGGTAGTAGAAGACTCTTGACCATCAGTAGATTTGTGATTAATTACTGGAGGCAGTAATAATAATTGTAAACAGAAATTCAAGACGTGGGTTGGGTCAAACGATGAGCAAGACAGGAGGATGTATGCAAGAGCCAGAAACCAAGCAAAGATAGAGTGTAGGAGGGCTGAAAAGGAGTTCCAAAGGCTGGTTGCACGCGAGGTCAAGTCAAACCCAAAGGCGTTTTACCGCTATGCAAAGTCGAAATTGAAAACGCGAGTAGGAGTATCAGACCTGAGGCTTGAAGATGGTAGTTACGCAGATTCTGACCAGGATAAAGCTGAGGCATTGAACAGCTTCTTTTCCTCAGTGTTCACAAGAGAGGATGCAACTAACCTTCCTGCGTTTGAGGACAGACGGTTCGACACAGCACTGACCCACATTGTGTTCACAGAAGAGGGTATTAGAAATAAACTGTCCAGGCTAAAGGTCCATAAGAGTCCTGGACCTGACATGGTGCATCCTAGAGTGCTAAGGGAGCTGTGCAACGAGCTTGCAGAGCCCCTGAAGATTCTGTTTTGTAAATGCCTGGATGAACAAATGGTCCCCAGTGAATGGAAAGTGGCTTATGTGAGTCCTATCTTCAAGAAGGGCGATAGGCACTCCACGAACAACTATAGACCGGTGAGCCTGACCAGCATAATATGTAAAGTACTTGAGAGTATTATCAGAGATGCAGCGATGGAACATCTACTACGAAACAACCTTGTAAAAGATTGCCAACACGGTTTTATGCCGGGGCGCTCTTGCTTGACACAATTGCTCAAGGTATTGGATATTTGGACCCATATTCTAGAACGGGGTGGTAATATCGACAATATTTACCTAGATTTTGCCAAGGCTTTCGACAGTGTACCCCACGAAAGGCTGAAAATCAAACTGGAAGGGTACGGAATTCGGGGAAATGTCCTAGCGTGGATAGAAGACTTTCTACATGACCGCAAGCAATGTGTGGTGATTAATGGCACGAAATCGTCATCTGTACCTGTAACAAGTGGGGTACCGCAGGGTAGTGTATTGGGCCCGCTGTTGTTTGTTTGTTTCATAAATGATATGCCTGACGTTGTACACTCCTCCATACAAATGTTTGCCGATGACGCCAAGTTATTTCGGGAAATTAAGAACCAAGCGGACTGTGAAGAGCTGCAGAAGGACCTCTGTGGGCTCCAGGAATGGTCGAAGGAATGGCTGCTGAGATTCAATGTCACGAAGTGTAAGAGGATGCACCTGGGGCGTACCAACGGTAAGGAGGCGTACCATATGTCCCAACGGGATGAAGAAAATGTACTAGTTGAGACTGTGTGTGAGAAGGACCTAGGTGTGTATGTTGACAATGAGCTGAAGTTCTCGGGCCATTGTGAGAAGAAGGTAAATCAGGCAAATAAATTATTGGGTCTTATAAGAAGGTCGTTCAGATATCTAGACGGTCCGTCCCTCGTGACGATCTTCAGGAGTGAAGTGCTTCCCCATCTGGAGTACTGTCACCCCATCTGGTCCCCGAGATATGCTAGGGACTGTCAGTTGGTTGAAAATGTTCAAAGGAGGGCCACCAAGCTGGTGCCTGCACTTCGGCATCTCAGCTACCCTGCGAGATTGGAGCGCCTGAACTTGCCTAGCTTATACTACAGACGGGCAAGGGGGGACCTAGTTGAGGTTTATAAGCATCTCAGGGGGCACTACTCAGTTGAGTGTCCTTACTTGGAGCTGGCGGACGCTCGCCCCACAAGGGGTCACAGCTCAAGATTGAAGAAGCCGCAAGTCCAGAAAACCGTGAGGGCAAACTTTTTCGGAGTGAGGGTTGTAAACTCTTGGAACAATCTACCAGAGAGTGTTGTGACGGCACCGAGTGTGAGCTCTTTCAAGAGAAGACTTGACCAACACTGGAGCGGGTTCAGGTACATTCAGGAGCGGTGCATGCCCAGTATTTGCCAACAGTGCGTGACAGAGACGTGACCGATCGCCCCGGCGGCTAGCGGACGACCTTTTTGGTGAAGAATATAAAGGAAAATTAGACCCGATCGCTAGCGGCTAACAAGCCGATCAGTGGCGAAGAGGATAAAAGTGAAAAGTAAAACAAGTGTCCTGTACCTCATATTGCCTACAAATAAATGTTGTGTACCTTATCCTGCCAATCTCAACCCACTGCCTCACACACACACGGTGGCGTTTCTAGCCTTCGGAAAGTGGGAGGGCCACTTTGGGGCCAAGGTAAATGTTGGGGGGGGGGGGAGGGCAAAACCAAACCTGTGTACAACTTGCAAGATGCAGTTTTTGGCATTATTACACCAATTTGATTGACAAATGTGAAGTGACGTCTCTCATGACGCCAGCCTAAAATAATCAGCATATGGCGATATAATGGCAACGCTCTTATTCCACTAATCATGATTCATTGGAGTTTTGACACACTTGAACATATCTCCAAAACTGTATTATTGCTCACATAGTCACATAAAGGGCGGGTGTACCACATAACAAACATTGAAAAATATAGCAGTGTCTTTACAATGTATGTACATGCATTAGCGAAAAAATGAATGATCTCACGCTTCACACATAATGGAGATTATGGAGACAACGTTTACGTTTTCAGACATGAGCGCCGCATGCAACTGTTACATTATACCCAATGGCAAATGGCAATGGTGCGGTTTCAGTTCACACGGTACTGTGACAGTAGCAGTATATTCAGTGCAGCTTAATCCTACGATTATTATGTCGGCTGCCAAACTAGTCGACAAAACAATCTAAATCAATTCCCTCAGCGCGTGCACTTTCAATCGATAGTAGCGCGATGTTACTCAGTCTGTCACTGGACATGGAATTTCTTAGGAATGTTTTCACTAATTTTATTTTCGAAAAGCTTCTCTCGCATAAAGCACTGGTAACAGGGAGAGTTACAGCTATCAACAGTAATTTATACAAACAGTCAAATGCAGCCTTATAAGGGCATATAAAAGACATAAATTGCACGAGCGATGAAGGTTGTTTACGTTCCTTCACGAGCAATTTCTTCACCAGAGGTATCTCATGTTGTAAATCACTTTGATTGACTGAGTATGTAACTGCAAATGCCTTCAAATCTTCTTCAGACAAGAATGTCTGTCCTTCTGGACAAAGAGCTGAAATCCCAAAGAAAATTGCACAGGAATCATTGGAGAAATGCCTGTCTAATTCACTAATCAAATAGTCTAGGACTTCATAGAAGATGCCAATGTGCACATGACTCACGTCAGATCTTTGACCGGTCGTTTCCAGCACAATGAATTCATCATTCTGTCGAGGTTTTCTGGTTCGCTTTCGTGTCTTTGTTGGTGAAATGCTGCATTTCTCACAGAGCTCATCAATCTTCTCGGAGTAATGCTCAATCAAGTTACAGTGGCGTTTATCAGCTTGATCTTCACGGAGCGACGAAATGAGCATTGCTGCTTTTCCTAAGTCTGCTTGCTTGTCCTGTAGCTGCTGTGATACTTTATCAACTTTTCCAAGAATCTCTGAGAAAAACTGCAATAAGTAGACAAATTCTGCATCTATTTGCGCAAGTAAACCTCGAGCGGATACGGCTCGTGCTCCAGTGTCTTCTGCAGAAGTCTCCTTCAATAGTCTTGCTATGCATTCGAGACGCAGCAGAGCATTTTCACATGAGGTGGCCCGGCACCACCACCGTGTATCACTCAGATGCTGCAGCTCTCGGACTTGTTCTCCTGGGAACATTTCTCGTTGTATAAAAATGAACCTCTCGTGAACGACAAGGTTACAAGCGAAGATATAGAGTTCTTCAAGCAGACTGAAGAATTCGGCTGCTTGAGGCACATATTTAGCATCATTGAGAAAAACCAAATTGAGCCTGTGTCCATAGCAGTGTACATAATAGGCAAAAGGAGCTTTATCACGAATCCGTTTCTGAACACCACTGATTCCTCCACGCATGACTGATGCTCCATCAAATCCTAAGCCAACAAGTGAAGATCTGTAATCCAAACCGAGTTTTTCCAAACTTTTCAAGATTACGTCCGTGATAGATGCAGCATCCAACGACACCATGGGAGTGAAGTAAATGAAGCACTCCTGAATGCAGTGTGACACTTCATCATAAAATCTGACAACTATTGCCAACTGCTCTGTTTTACTAACATCCTTTGCTTCATCAGCTTGAACAGAAAAGTAATGACATGATTTCACATTTTCTGCAATTTCTTCTCTCACCATAGATGCGAGCGTGTCAATCATCTCATTCTGTATTGCAGAATTGGTGTATTTCTCATTCTTTGAACCACTTTTGACACGATCAGCTATAACAGGATCATGCTTGGCAGTGAATCTAAGGAACTTACGGATGTTTCCAGGATTCAGTTCTTCGTCACTTTCTCTGTGTCCTCTCTGGGCAATGTCCTGAGTTACTGTCAACAGGATTATTTCTCCAAGAGTCTTTATGTAATGACGATTTTCAAGATCTTTTTTCTTATAGGCCTCACTTATACTCTGAGTAATGGATGTCTTCTCAGCGTTATTGCGTTGATAGTCGGCCCATGCAATACAGGAGGATTTGTGGCATTGTGAGTTCAGGTGCTTTCCAATGGCACCATCTTTTCCATTTGCTTTTTTCCAACGTCGGAAGCCACTCTTTACGAATGTGTTATCTGCATTGCCATGAGCTGGTGGTGCAAAATGCCTGCACGGGAAACAGAACATTGCATCACGTTCTTGAGAATATTCAGCCCACTCATATTGGTCAAACCAAGCACCCACGAATGACCGAGCATGGGACTTTCCTTCACTGTGCTTGGGATACTCCTTTAGACAGGGCTGAACAGGGTTGCTAGCAGCAGATTCTGAGATGTCAGTTGGTGCAGTGTCTTCCTCCTTATTTTTCTATTTCTGCAATGAATGTACACTTGCAAAAGTTATAGCATCAGAATCCTCCTTTGACTTCTTTGCAAAAGGGCCCTCAGATTCCTTGTTTTCTGTTGCACAGCATTTATTTTCAATACCAAATTTATCCATATTTGCTTGTGGTAATCCAACCGTTATCTGTAAAAAGACAAAACCTACAAATTAATGATAAATTATTCAAGGTAATCGTAGAAATTGTACCATAAGTCCATAACCTGCGAGGCTGCGACCTATCCGTCATAGCATAATATAGAAGCGTGTTAGCGTGCTTCTCTAGTTAAATATTATTTGCGTCATTATTATATGAATTATAAAGTATGATAACTTCAGTCATTTGCAAATACAGTACTTACTGATCAGTGATCCCTGATCACAGATAAACAATTGCGGAATATGCGTGTAGGTTACCCTATCACTGGTGACTTGGCGAGATGCAACTGACACTCGGTTTCTTATTTTAATGCAATTCTTGTACCTTATTTCATTAATATAGATAATTTTTTAACTATAGGAATATGGAGTAATATTACAATCAGTCAATCATTCAGTTCAAGTCAATCAAGTGGCTGTAGTTGAGCTGGGCTGATTTGCTGAACAGTATAAGACAAATCAGTACAGTCCATCAGTTATATCATTGCAAAATGTAGGCCTAAAGCATTCTCATGACATATTAATTATACATTCTTGTGACATATAATATGTCATAAGAATGCTTTAGGCCTACATTTTGCAATGATATAACTGATGGACTGTACTGATTTACCTTATACAGTACTGTACAGCTCAGCTCAACTACAGCCACTTGAACTGAATGATTGAGATTGACTGATTGTAATATTACTCCTATAGTTAAAAAAATTACTCGCATGTTCTCTCTAAACATACCTCACTTAGCAAGTAGAAAAACCCACAGTGGCACTGTGGCAGACGAAATAGTTCTTCTGGGTAGTTTTGGCGACAAATTCTACAATTACTGTCAGTCTGTCACCCTCCTCAGTGGAAATACAGAGTGGTACTGTTCATGACCGACAAGGCAGTTTGTTTATATATGCCGTGATGTGACCCCACCCCGCATATCTGTACCCTCCCAATTCCTGCCCTCCAGGCTTCACCTCACCTCACCCATGCCTGCATCTGGCGTGCGGTGCGCCCATTGCCTGAGTCACTTGACTCACTTCCTGGTTTTGGGAATGTTTTTGGAATTACAATTTTGAGAATAAAAACTGGGGGGGCCAACCCAGGGGCCAGCCCAAAATCTGGGGGGGGGGCGGCTATGCCCCCCCCCCCGTAGAATCTTCCCTGCACACACATGCCACTTCACGCGCATTCTCAACTCTTCCTAGTCCCTGTGATGCCAACCTGTGGTAAGAACATATATTTTTTATTGTTTATATTATGCATGCCGAGTTTGTGAGATTAGAAATGTTTTTTATTTGTTTTCAAACTTTACCAAATATACCCAAGTGCCTACTGTATCCCGTTGTCTGGGGGTTAACCCTTAAAAGATGACAATCATAAACTGATGAGTGTCTTTTGTCTTGCATTGATGGTGATCAATTATACAATCAAAATTTTCAGCACTATAATTTTTAAGTTTGGCATTTGATTTCTGCTTGAATGAGTTGTTGTAATTCATGGGAACTTTTTCTTCCCCGTGTTGGTCCCTCCGTGCACCAGTAGCATGGAGGAAGTATCTGGCATTTCCAGTGAAGTGTCATGTGGAAAGACCCCTTGTTGCAATAGTGTTCCCTTGACACTTAGAAAAATAATTAAATATTATGGGAATTAGAGAATGAGGGTTAGATCGAAGAAATGATAGATTTTCCGAATGAATTTGGAAAGGATTGCTTCAGCAATAGTGGCACAGATGAACTAGTCATTAGTGTAGGAGAAGTGCTTCATGTGTTCCATGTGGGAGATTGAAAGGCAAGACTGGGACTGGTAGGGTGGTTTCCAAAATTTAGAAATGCCAGTCAGTGGTCAACTTGTATAGTGAGTCAGCTGACAGCAAATCTAAAAGACTCATTCACTTTCCAGGTGTATTTCTTTTGTTCTCTCCCTCCACATTTTCCCTCACTTTAACCATTATATCATTTTTATAATATACAGTACTGTAATACCTGTACTGTTCTATTCAGTGTAAAAAATACAGTGACCCCTCCGTTAACGAACTCAATCCGTTCCAGAAGGTCATTCGTTAACCGAAAAGTTCGTTAACCGAAACCATTGTTTCAATGGGTTTTTGGGTAATTGGTTCCAGCTCACCGAAAATTTCCTAAATTCAACAAAAATGGTAGAAAAGTTCACTTACTTTGAGGTGTGTATGTAGAAGGCTCCTGGATGATGATGATGGGATTTAGAATGGGGGTGGAGGAGAAGGAAAAAGAGAAGGCATTGGGGTGGAAGAGAAGTCACCCCATGGCGCCATTTCACCCATAAAATTTTAGCTCTCTTGGTGTAATTCAAGATTATTTTCTTTAAATCAACACTGCACTGCATTATATATTGTCAATATGTAAAATATATTTCAAAATGACCAATAATTTGCTTGGAAACACAGAAAAAAGCATTTAGTTGAAGAGAGTCTCAAGCAAGATGTTACCTCCAGTGAAAACAGAGAGAGACTAACTCCTGTTTGCTGTGTTAAGAGGCTGGATGCTGCGCATTAAACTAGTCACTTTACCTTCAGTTATGTTCAATAATTGTTAAAATGACTAAAAAATTGAATATTAAACTTTTAAAATTATTGAATAGTATAAACTTCTTGATATTTACTAAAATAGTAAGGAATTTAAGCCCTAGAACCGATAAATGTATTGGCGGACTGATACTAAAGTTGGTTGCCCGGTCAGTGCAAGCGCAAACATGTTGAGGTCGGTTCGTAAGAACTTCGTTAACCGAATTGAAGATCCTTATGGAAGGCAGTTTGTTAATCGAAATTACGTTAACCGAGGTGTTCGTTAAACGAGGGGTCACTGTATATACAGTACAGTATACGAAAGTGTAGGGTGAAAAAGATGTTTGTTCAGTGATGATTTGTTTTCATTCATTGGAGCAGCTCATTCACTGAACTCATGTGAATTACTGTATAGCAAATTAAATGTGGCCGAGTTGTAAATAGTGTAGTGTACTAAACCTGTGTGACATAAGAAATGCTTAATTTATCTATAGTAGAGATCTTAGGATTTTTTTAAAAATATTATTTTATTATTTGATCCTCATCTATGTACAGTATGCCCAAACTTTTACCACAGTATGTGGTGTCTTAGTATACTTGCAATCGTTGTAGCTATGCCTCAGTTGAATCACACTATGTCCTCTATGAATTGGCTGCAATTTAGCCCGATTATGATGAAGCTCACACTGGAGGGTGAAGAAATTTCCTAGATGAAGGCATATAGTATACAAAACTCAGCTGATTGTATAGGAGAAACAAGCAATTGATATCTTAATTTTCTATTTTGGTTTTGACAGAAACACCTCTTTTGGCTAACCAGTCTTAAATTTAATTTCTTGAGTTGTTCCTGAATTAATTGCTCTTTACCTCCTGTCCATTGTTATTACTAATAGCATTTTTTCTTATCTTAAGGGTGAGTTTGTGGATGATGGCACAGAGACTCACTTTGACCTTAATGGTCAACCAGCATACATCAAGGCAGTGAGTAGTGGAAATCGGAGAGAAGGCATCATCCATTCCCTTATTGTTGACAATGCAGTGATTGCCGAGTCATTGGAGTAAGTGTGTGTGTGTACATATTAAGGATTATTTTAAAGCTAATAATTCAAACTAGATGTATGAGTAAAATCTGCTTTTTAGGCTAACATGTTCATACCGCATGTATAAGTCAGTTCAGCTATGTGGTAAGGAATAGGTTTATGGCTCACTTTCTCAAACCACCAACATGAAAATGAGTCATCTTCAAACCTTAGCACATCCATATTGTAAGGGTTAATGAAAAGAATAGTCAGTAGCTTATGGCAACTATGTTTTTTTTTTTTAATGTTATTAAAGCTAGTGAAAAGCTTCCATAAAAAGAAAGGAAATTTTCCAATACAGTATGTCAAGGGATCGAGTCTCAGCCCGGACACAAGTGAGAAGGGTGTTATCCAGTGTGACCCTCACTACCAAACACCACAGGTTTCCTGGTCCCCGGTTTCGTTCTGTACTAACACTGGATCAACCTACTGCCCGAAGGGCAAGTAAGCTGAGAATTGGCAAAAAAAAAAAAATAATAAAATAAATAAATAAAAATAAATAAATAAATAAATAAATAAAAAATATAAAATAAAATAAATAAATAAAAACGATGTCTAAAAAGCCATTGATTTATTTGTAGTATTCATACTGATTACTGTATTCCGCTTTATCAAAGAGTTACGCGATGCATTTTATGGTATGCAATTTGCACAGCTCATTAGTTTATCTTTGCTGAAAATGGATGATAGTTAATGTGCTGTGATTGTTGATAATCAGCATGATACTATAGTGCATTTGAACCTTTAGACCTGATGCTTCACTAAAACTCAGTTAATGTATACAGTATGTAGAAAAAGTTTGCATTGAACATTAAATATATAACTGTTCTTAAAATAAAGCTTGAAGTCCATGGTGCAGCTTAAATAACAGGGTACTGTGGCCTTGTCCTTAGACCATGGCTAAATTAAATTTAATTGGAATATCAGTAATATTCATGACCTCCTTTTACCTGTACCTTTGTCATTAATCATTGAAGCTTCAGTTCTTATGGCCTTTATGTACAATATTCAAAAAAAGAGAACAAATATGATTAAGCTGATCATTATGTTTATACACAGTACTGTACTGTGGAACTTACCTGAAATTATTATATTGTACTGTTCTCTCACTCAGTTTTCCCTGTTCCCACAACTTGAGCAGTTAACTCTTTTGTTACCAAACAACCACAACCATGGTACCGATATATGCATACCACAGCCAGCAGTTTTGATTTACTGTAAAGAAGAGATAAATGCAGTTTTACAGTTGCTGACAAATCTTAGAGAAGGAAAATTATGTATTTGAATACAGTACAGTCGGCCCTTAACATACGCGGGGGTTAGGTAACAGAGATACCCATGAATGTTAAAAATCCGTGTACTATTGCTGCCCCCCCCCCCTCCCCCTAAAAAAACCCCTGGCCCCCCATGTCCTTATTTACTATATATACCTGTGTGCAGTTCGAGTTTTTAATACCAAATTATTTGGCAAAAAATTGGGGGTCGACCTCTAAACGGGTACTAGTTTCGTTAGGTTGAAAAATATTTACCAGTAAACAATGGAAACGACGCACCAACGCACCACCAGCTGTGAGTGTCGGTACAGTTGCCAGGCCAGATCTCTGGCGTCATCATAGCAAGCCCAAAGAAGCCAAATGCATGGTATGGTATGGTATGCACAGGACCATGTAAAAAAAAGTAATCATTTTTTTAAAGTTTATTTATAGATACTGTACATAAATTTTTGTTCATTACATTTAAAACATCAATCTTTGTTAATTAAATTTGAAACACAAGAAAGCTACGATACCGTATTTTCATTAAAATATTACATCACAAGTATATTTTACCTTAACTGTGACTGAATGAATATATTCTCAGAAATAAATATGGAAATGTAATATTTTGCCTGAAATGACGTACATATTACAGTAGGCTCTCACCAATAATGTCTAATAGGTGCCTGAAAAATGCCGTTATTAGCGAAAACGTTATTTGTGTGACATTAAAATACATGTAAAAAGGGTTTATTGGTGCTGCCCCCCCAAGAATTTCACCCAATTTTTCCCCTTAGAAGCCCTGCCTAACACTTATTGTTAGCAGAAATAAAAAGAATTGTTATTCAATCCTCAAAATAAAGAGTTTGAGTAATATAACACTTAGCTTGGGGGAGTTTTTGAGGTGCTTGGTGTGATGATTGTTCCGTATCTGAGGGTCACTAAGACTTGCGCTGTCTTTCTTTCTACAAGCTAACCATTTCACAAGAAAATGCTCTGTTATCACAAACAGCCTGTTCCTATTACTTTTATCATTCATAGCTCGCCTCGCATTTCCATCACTACCGAAATATTTCTTAGCCAGCACAATACTCTTCTTGGTCTCCTCTAAGTTCCTCTTAATATTTCTCACTGTAGACTCAGGACAGTTCAATTTCCTCACAATATCAATGTTCCGTGCACCACTTTCAATGAGCTCAACAATCTATTCTTTATCCTTGACTGAGTAGGCTCGCTTCTTGCGGCTTTGTCTCTTAGCTTTGGGGTCTTTTTTCTCATTCACTTTAAAAGTTCCCGGGAATTCAGGTAGCAAATCACTCCCTCCACCACCTCCCCTAGCCCCCACAGGCACAAATGCATTATTGTTCACTGACCCTTGCAACCACTGGTTATAGAGGTGAAAATCTCACACGTGGGCGCAGCGCTGTATTCCACGGAGCGTGTGTGAGAGCGAGAGTGAGGCGGAGAGGACAACTACGTCATCAACATGGCGGCAAACAAACGGTTGATGCACTCCGACGCTTCCCGCGAAATCTCCGTTATTCATGAGAATCCAGACGTTATTATCGAAAATGGGTACCTATTGTAACTTACCGTTATTGTCGAAAACGTTATTGTGGAAGTCGTTATTGGCGAGAGCCTACTGTACAGTGGAAAGTGGGATAAAATCATGACGAAAACAATGACACGCTTTCTTTCGTTGTTCAAAAGATTTTACCGTAATCGCTTTTCGAATGGTTTTCAGTTAAAAACTGTTGTACCGTACTGTATTACAATAATATTCTATCCTATCATTAGACTCATAATCCCACAACTGAAAACCATTCAAAAAGCGATTACAGTAACATCTTTTGAACGAAAGAAAGCGAAAGTCATTGCTTTTGTCACAATTTTATCGCACTTTCCACTGTAATACGTACGTCATTTCAGCAAAAATATTACATTTCCATATTCTCAGAAATAAATAGTAGTTTTGTTGGAAAGTACTGTACAGTATTTAATATTAAAATGCAAAAAAGCTATAAAAACAATTAATACTGTACACCCGTAATGTACTAGCTGGCATCTCCACTCGTCCCTGCTCCCGCCAGTCACCACTCCTCCCCGTTCTATCCCTCCGCCTCCTCCACATCGTCACTGCTGTTGTATTACAATAATATTCTATCCTAATTCACTTGAATAAATTATAAGATACCATATTTCTGAATATTTTCCTTGTCATCATCTTAGCACCAAACAGCTCCTCCCAGTCTTCTCCTTGAACAGGGCTAGAGGGTACGTGTTTTTCGAATCGTTTTCAGTTAAAAAAATGTTACATCACATGTATATTTTACCTAAACTGCACCTGAATGAATATATTCTCAGAAATAAATACAGGTTGTACCTCTAGTCCAGCATTCTGTGGTCCGGAACGATTTTAGTTTGTCCAATAGGTAGACAGGCAGCATTTTTTTCTTTTTTTTACTTTTCTGAATTATTATTATTATTACAGGAGTATTAAATTTTTGCCCCTCAGGCCCCAATGTGGGTCAGTGACCTATGCCTGGGTGGGCTAATCCCCATAAAAAAACAACAACAACAAAGCCACGAGAAATTAAGGTTTGTTTACATCAGGCAGTTCCACTGCTCTCTCTCTCTCTCTCTTTGCTTGTCTATACAGGGTACAACATTTAACCCTTCAATATATATATGAGCAGTAAATAAGTGTTGCTTTCATATTCTTATGTTGAGTAATGACGATATGTTTTCACATGTGCGCACTTACATACGCGCAGCCTCACTTTTTTTTACCATTAATGGTTAGCTACTTATATTGTTCCATTTATTAACATTAAATTACATTACAGGTACTTCAAACAACCATATTAATTTTTTTACATTAATTTTACTACAGCTACAATCAGGGTCTTATTTTCTTCGGTTTTATATGTAGAACCAATCAGTCACTAGTTTTGTAAGCTTTAACATAAACAATGCCGGCAGCCGTCTCGTCTCATCGTGTGTTTTCATATTCCACGTATTATTAATAGATTGTATTGTTAATTTTGCACACACAAACATTAATTCAATAAAAACAAATTCAGAAACATTAATTAAAATATATATGAACAGTAAATAAGTGTTGCTTTCATATTCTTATGTAAAGTAATGACGATATGTTTTCACGTGTGCGCATGCGCACTTACATATGCGATCTCTCTTTTTCTTTACCATTATCGTTAGCTACTTCTATTGTTCCATTTATTAACATTAAATAACATTACTTAAAACAACCATATTAATTTTACTACAGCTAAAACCAAGGTCTTATTTTCTTCAGTTTTATATGTAGAACCAGTCAGTCACTGGTTTTGTAATCAACGAAAACAATGCTGTGTCATTTCCTCATGTGTTTTAATATTCTACGTATTATTAATGAATTGTATTGCTCATTTTGCACACACAAACATTAATTCAATAAAAAAGACATTCAGTAATAAACAATAATGAATCTTTTGTGCATAAGAGAAATGACGCTGTTTACATGTCGTCTGCACGTTGGCGGGCCGTTCAAACCCGTCGAAATTCAAGTTTCCGCCGTCAAAATTTTTTTTTTTTTTTTTTGTGTGTTCTAATAAATTACGTTGAATTAAAAACTCCCGAAATTTGAGAAGCTACTATACATCATTTAACCCTTCAATATGTCTTCAAAGAGACCATGATGCAGAGAAAGCGGTGCTAGTGCTTCCAAGCATAAGCACAAGTCACTATCTATCCAGGAAAAGGGTGAATTTCCATGGTCCGGCACTGGTCAGGTCCCGAGGTTGCCGGACTAGAGAGGTACAACCTGTAGTAGTTTTGCTGAAACGTGATGAATTTCAATGTAAAATAGGATAAAATACATGACGAAAACAAAAGACTTTACCTAACCTTCCGATGTTCAAGAGATGTTACTCGTTTTTTTAATAGTTTTTGGTTGAAATACTGTTATATTACAATGATATTCTATTCATACTGTGCTTGATATACTACATTCACGGAAATGTAATATTTTTGCTGAAATGACGTACATATTACAGTGGAAAGTGGGATAAAATCGTGACGAAAACAATGACTTTCGCTTTCTTTCGTTCAAAAGATGTTACCGTAATCGCTTTTCGAATGGTTTTCAGTTAATAAAACTGTTGCATCACAAGTGAATGAGGATAGAATATTATTGTAATACAACAGTTTTTTAAGTGAAAACCATTCGAAAAGCGATTACGGTAACATCTTTTGAACAAAAGCGAAAGTCATTGCTTTCGTCACTTTCCACTGTAATACGTATGTCATTTCAGCAAAAATATTACATTTCCATATTCTCAGAAATTAGTTTTGCTGAAACGTAATGTTTTTCAATGTAAATTAGGATAAACTACATGAAAACAAAAGACTTTACCTAACCTTCCGATGTTCAAGATATGTTACTCGTTTTTTTAATAATTTTCGGTTAAAATACTGTTAAATTAGTGATATTCTATTCATACCGTGCTTGATATAATACATTCACGGAAATGTAATATTTTTGCAACTACAATGCTGATGTCAACACAAGCGTGGTTACAGCGAGACTGGCTGAGTGAGGGAGAGCTATGCGTGTGAGGTTGCGGGAGCGGGCGGTGTCCTGTGTTCGGTGCCGCGCGCGATTTGAATGTACTTCAATTACTTCAATGTACAGAATATTCCTCCGGCGGGGCAATCCGCGTATTTGCAAATCCGTGTATGCTAAACCCGCGTATGTTAAGGGCCGACTGTACTGTATAATCCTTTGATCTTACTTGGGGGGATAATGGGATTGGTTGGTGTATACAGTACGCATTTATAATACTGTGTGGTATTAAAAAAAAGTTAAAAGGGTGTAAAGAGGTGATGTGATATCTTTTTGTAATCAGAATTTGGGATTTATATACTGTATTCAAATGTTTTAATGTACTGCACTGTACCTGTACAGTACTTTGGTTTATTAATTTAACATATAAAGACTCCCAAGTCCAACCCTCATGAAAAAAAAAAAAGGAAAAGAAGGGACATGAACCCTCCTCCATTAATGCTGGCAGCTGTCCCTACAGCTAACATCCACTGATGATGA